ACATGCAATGTCATACATTATTTTAACATCAGTATCCTCATCATAATGACACAGAAGCTTTTTAACCTCATACACTGAATATGCTATCCTAAAATATACAGTATGTTGCACTAAATTACTATCAACATGTACACTTGCACTTTAATTTGATGACTGTTTGCTCACCTTTCTCCATGTTTGATACTCATAAATCCCCTTGGGTATTCATGTCTGCATACTCTACCAAACACTCCCTTCTCGTCAAAAAGCTTATTTCTTCCTTTGGATCGTAACATGTTACTAACCTCACCAGATTTAAATTCATTGCAATCCTAGGAAAAACAGTGGATTCTTCTATAATAATGATAATATTCAACAAAACTACTTTTTACAGTACAATCACCAGTAACCACTTACAGTAGGGGCTTGCTTTGCCTTCTTTGAGTTGTCATCAACAAAGCTATCGACATCATCCTGATTGGCAAAAAATGTACCATTGTGTCTGGCAGGTAAAAGATTCGCACCAGCAGACTTTTTTCTCACAAGCCCAAAACATCCATCCATGCACTCAATGGCAACATTCTTGTCAGTATCAGTTTCACTCTACAAAATTATCACAATATGTTAAATACAAAAAGGAGAATGTGACATAAAAGAAAAAATACCTGTGGAGTTCTATACCTGCAAAGGACATAACGGGCAAACATTGTCAGGTTTTTGTTGCAAGACAAATTGTTTCATTGTTTTGAACAAATGTTGGTGATATCTACATAAATAAAATATTATTGTTGGTATTGTAAATATATATATATATATATATATATATATATATATATATATAATATATATATATATATATATATATAGAATTGAAGTTTAAAATTTATCATAAAAAGTTGCAAAAACAATAAAATAAAATATTTGACAAGAACAGTACTGTGTCATGCAGTTAACCAAAATACGCCCCTACCTAAATTCATCAAAAGAATCATCATTCAATATTTTATAGAGATTCTTAACCTTAGAAAACCAAAAAAAATATATAATGTATGAATAAATTTATTTATCTATGGTATATAATTAAAGTGTACCATATATGACATAACATTGATTATTTTATAACACAAAAGAAATCTTTAATATGTTTCACATGTATTATAACTTATTTTCTAGTTTCTCACTTCATTTCATGGTTTGCTAACGAGACATTCCAATTTGTGTGATATGTAAATAAGTGTATATTTGCACGTCCACTAATTATGAAATTTTAAACTTTGCTCGGAACATGAGTATCTGCACTTAGTAGACTTTATAGTTACTATACTAGTTAGCTGGCAACCAAACTAACATCATAATTAGTAGGCAAATATAATTTAATGTCTTATATATCAAACAAATTGAAATATCTCATTAAAGCTGGAATCAATAATATGTAATAAATTATAGTTATTTTCTTTATCTATTTAATGCCCATGGCATGACTCTAGTATTTTACTCTGGCTAACCCTATATGATTTTACTTGTCCAATGGAGATTCCAAGCATCAAAGTGTTAATAAAACAGTCAAGTTATTGTCATTTAGAGCATTTAGAGTTTATATAGTTAATCCCATGTCATTTTCACACAGATAAATATTACACAGTATATAATAATTTATACTTGGTATGCAGTATGCTATATTATTATATATTTTAATCAAGAATTGTCTATTTAGAAAATATATAAACATAAAGTATTTGGAAAGGTTAGGTGTCAAGAATTTGTTCTGAATGATGTTGAAATAGCATGGAATTACTCAGCTTCAAATGTACAACAAAATAACATACCCAAACAGGAAGCATATTGGACTTATTGAGGCCCAACACATCACAAAATTTCTTTAACGATACATGGCATTCCAATAGAAGTGTCTCAGCAAGTGTAACCAACTTAAAATGAAATGCAACCTGAGGTCTAACAGCTGATCCTGGCCATAATTGGAACTTTACAAGTGTAACTGCAGCATCTTCACAGTTACAAAAGTTGATCCATTTCAAGTGTTGATGCCCTAATAAAAATGCACCAAAGGAGAAACTTACAGAACTTTTCTCACAATTATTTTAGGACTGAAAACAAACTTGAATACAGTTATCAAATCCACAGTACCAATAAACCCACCTTTTTCATCAATACAAATAATGTTTTGTGCTTGTGCAGTTGGACAATTTCTTTGGTGATCAAGAGTCAAAACACCATGATTAACAAATAAAGGAACAAAACAACCATCCTGAGAAAATAAGCAACATTAATTTTTAAACAGTTGGGTCTGGGGTAGGGTCAGTTCTGAATATGTAATATACATATAAAAGATATTGAAATATTTATATTTTACGCCAAAAACATCACACGCACCTTGAAAATTTCAAGTAGGTGAAAGACGTTGCGTTGTTCGTGGATAGTTTTCGCGCAGTTGATGCAAAACAACTGTCTAGGACCACAATCCACGCAGCGACAAACAGCGAAGTTGTTATGGCACTCGATGCACATTATACTTTCGTCACAAAAAGCTTCTTCCTCAATGCGTGCTTGCAAAAGAGACCCCCTCACATCTTCCCAACTGTGATACTCTTTCACCCGGCGCAAGTGATATCGTGAAAGACTAGAAAAAGCTTGGTCATCACTTTCATGGCTGCTATTTATATCGTCGATATTTGAACCATCAACATGTTCTTCTTCCATTCCCGTTGTGAAAGACTTCTGCTTACTCGAACTTGACTCCTGAGAAATCTTGCAATAGTTCTTTGAATTTAAACGCACATGTCTTGTAGTTTTTTTTCCCTTTGTTGACTGCGTATTAACGCGAATTTTGCATGCCTTAAAACGCTTGCAAGAATCCGCCATTTTGGCGAACTTCTATTTAGAATTTATAATACACAATAATAACAAATAGCTCGTTCCCAGTACAGCAAACAGCGAACGTGTTAGATGGCTCAGATGATCATCCCATGTCACATATATCCGATGTTCTAAAACTTAGAATTCTCATTATATGTGATTTAGAACACGCGGAACGGGTGCCATTTTAGGGAAGCCATGCAAGTTCGGGTGTTTACAAAGAAAACTTGACCCGGCATTACTGAATTTGCTCTATTGCTTTTCTTTTTATCAAAAAAAGCATAAGTTTCACCACACTCTTTTTTTATGCACAAGATGTGTTGTAATATGCCTTTTTAATATTACCTGAAAATCAAAAGATGTCTATTTTGGGAAGCCGCTTATTCAAATTGTTTGCTATAGTAACCGTCTGTCTCAGTCGATTGCCGTTCTTTAAAGAAACGGTTCGAGAGAGAACTTGGTCAACTGAACAGCATTGCATGCTAGCATTTATCAATCTGGGGTCGATTGTACGAAAGCTGGATTTTCAATTGCTTTAAACCGCACGGTGATCTCTGTATTTCATACGGTTGAAAATATCACCATCTGAGTGATAGCGCTATGCAGCTATAAACCAGCTTAATAGAACGTTTATCTGATATGAAAACTTTTGTGAGTCTCGTAAGTCGTAAACTGCAAAGATATATATATATAAATACAGGAGGCCTGTCCCTGTGTAAACGGTGAATATGTAGCTAAATAAAGCTAATATTGTATCATTCTAACGTGAAGCTTTAATCGCTTTAAGATCTGTTGGGAATAGGGAAATTTAAGACCGAAAATTAGCTAAGTTCGTGAGATAAAAATTCTTATCTAGTTCGTTTCAAAGTATAGTTTACAATTACAAAATGTAACTTGCTTTTGCCCTTCGGGTCAGGCGGTTATATTATCAATCATATTGAAAGAACGTTTTATATTATGACTAATGTTTATTGAAGTAAGCTTTCATTTTTAAATATTACTACCAGGAACAGATGTAAGTTGTTTTGCAAGGTGTAGTTTTCACAGCACCTCGCAGCACAGGCTATCTCGCGTTTCTCGGCAAAGAGTGTTGAATTCGTTTGCCCACTTTGAAAATGTAAATTGTAAAGTAATCTTATTGAACTCTGCTTAATACAACTATATTCAAATCACATTTTATCTCTGGTTAGTTTGCATATAAAGTAGAGAATTTAATTAACAGGCCTAAATCCTCCTTGTCCACTCAACGCGTTTGGACTGATGGGAACGCCCATTCGTTGCTGCCTGCGGTTTTGAAGATCGTTAAAAAACGGCGGTGAATTCTTTATCAAGTGTAATCGATTCTTACCGTTTTGAGACTACAATATACCCTTGCATTCAATATTGTGAAGTTTTCAGCCGATGGATTGACCTAAATTTCGAATTCGATCGTTCGTTAGAAAAATCGCTGCTGCTTACAACAACAAACTATATCGTTGTTAAAAAGATTCAGACCGTTCAGATGGCAAGTTTTAGAAAGCTATGTATGGTCAGTTAAGCTGGTGAATCAATTCATGACCTGTGTTCCCTAGATTTAACATAGCTCTCAAAAGGTTTTTGGCATTTTCGTCAAGTCTTCAATTCGACATTCCGTTGCCAAGTGTTGAAGTTGAACATCACAAATTGGGCGAAACAAGGTTATGTTAACGAACATGCCACTACAGATATCTCAGTATTTCGCGAACCGGTTGAGGTTGGGGAAGGCCTAGTTGTGCTCTTTAAAGACAAAAAACGTTTTTCGCTAAGAAAGCATAAGAGTTTTAGAGTTAACGACATCAAAACTCGCTAAAATATTGGCCCGAAGTATTAAAAAAAAAACGAAAGCGAGTTTCCCGTTTTTAAGATGTTATAATAAAAACTTGCGTAAAGAATACTTCAAAATTAAATTTATTCAAATCAATCAGTTGTACTGTTCCGGGGGAAACTATTAAAACGCGATATTTGCCCCACTAAACGGCGACACGCCCCTCCTATCGAGTGTTCATGGAGATTAGCATATATTGCACAATAAATAGTTCAGTTATCATATATAGCTCAACGAGCAAGCATCTCTGCGATACTTCATTTAACACAGATTTTAAGAGAGTCTATGTTCACCATATTGTTTTGGTAAACTTGATACATTTTTGAACGAGAGTGAAAATATATACATTTTGGATGTAAACTAAACATGAATGCTGGCGAAATTCGACAGAAGAAGGTATGACTTGTTGTGAAGCAATTGAATCAGTATTTAGATCGCCGAAATGTGATAGGATTGCCTGATATCATGCAATAAACTCATTCAAGAAGTTTGTAACATTCTATTTTGTTACGTTTGCAGAAGAAGCAAGCTGTTAGACGGTTATCGCAGGGATCAGGAGGTCCTGGTAAACGTAGAGGAGATATGAGACGATTGTTAGAAGCCAGGAAACGTGATGCAGCGCAATCTGGCTCAGAGTCTGGTATTAGTGAGAGACGTTTACCCAGGGGCATAAGACAAGGTACAGGAGTGCCGAGGGGTTTGTGAAGAGGGGGAGCTCTAGTAATCAGTGGTATCGGGGAGCTTCAAACAATGGCCAGTCAGGCTTTGGATTGAATATTTTGTGGCATTGATTGCTCGTTGATAAGGATTGTTTTGCATTTTGACATTTCTTTAATTTGCCTATTACGTGCCATCTTGCATCCAAAACTAGTATCCCAGTGAGCACACGACGTCGTTTCGACGTTGATTTATGGTTGAATTTTGGTCGCGACGTCGATCAACCCAATATCGACTTCGTTTCGACGTCGATTTCACGACGTCATATCGACGTCGCAAACTGACGTTGTTTCAACGTTGTTTTGACGTCAGGTAAAACTAGAGTTTGCTGCGTTTGCCGCATTTAAATTGTATATGGATTGACAACAATATTCGGAAAGTGTTGTGAACATCATATATGCAGTGTAATGATGTGTTTTTGTCAAGTCGTTAAAGCGTCGATATATCAACCTGTTCTCGACGTCGTTTTCGCGACGTTTATTCAACGTTGTTTCGACGTTATATAAAAACTTTACAGGACCAACTTGCAAAGACTCGCAATGGTAATAATATCATTCCTGATAGATAGTTAGGACGAATGTTGCGATTTTAAGAAGTGTTGAAAATTAATTTCTATGTAACAGACTATTTAAAACCATTATTAAATACCTCGGGCCTCCCCGGAGCAACATCGGTCATGCATCGTTGGTAGAGTGCGCGCAGTGCATTTCGGGAAGGTCAAATTGAGCGCGTCCATTTGAAAATTGAAACATGTTGTCGCGAACGGAATATGAATTATGAAACATTGTAGCTGTATATTTCGGGATATTTTCACAGGATTTCTAAGTTTAATGGTTGGATATCTTTCGCATAAATCCAAGATAGCAGTAAAGGTTAGTGAGAGTCAGTTTTACAGTGTGTATTGCCATGATAAAGGCCATGAATCGCGAGATATGAATACGCGATCGTGACATCGTGATTATATTTTGAAATTTAAACGTTTAAAACATTGCCCAAACTTTTTGATTCTCTTTTATAAATGGTTCAGCTAAACGAATAACGATACTTGCTCATTATATTTTGTTAATTTATGTTTCAACGTTGTGTGATCGTGGGTTATTCATTCTAATATGACTTTGTATATACAGTAAGATCGCCATATTTGACGCCAGAACTAATTGCATTTATAATCCTATTCAATCCGCTACTTAGTTTTGATCATTTAGACCATATTTATGGTTCCGTATATGTTAGTCGTGTGTTCTTTATGTGTTGAACGGGATTCGATTTAGCTATTTGCTTTGATTTTTTGAAAATTGCGTACTATTATAGGCCCTTTGTTAGATGAATAAACTGATTTTTATTATGCTGCTCCCTTTGCCAGTTGCCTTTCTCAGCTGAAGCACAGAAGTGTCAACGTGCTACATCATTAAGCTTGCTAAAAAACTAGCGAACGGCCTAGCACAGACCTATAACAAATATATGGGGTAAGCGTACACATAGGGACCACATATGTAGTAAACAATATCATCTCAACTTTTAAGGTTGGCCAAATCGCAAGTCGCAAATTGTCATCACAAGTAAATGCCCCTCCTGTTGCTGCGTGTATAATGATGATGAAAAGATTGTTCAGAATGAAGGGAAAGATAACATACTTGAACATAATGTCCAATTCCATAATGGTCTATAGTGTCCAAAAACTTTTTATTTTACAATACTGAGACTCTTCTCGCACTATTTTGAGGCGAGATTTTAAGAAAGAGATGAAGGAAACCCTGAGACAATTTTTCGAATCTGATTTCTTAATTTCAAATCAAGTATATTGTAGATTTAAACAAGGTGATGTAAATTGAATAAAATTTGTTTGAACTATAGAGTCAGTGCAATTATGTTTTTTATATGCATTTCAAAATCCAGCTAAAATCCTTTGCACGGACGTTGTTTTAAAGGCAATAATCTAACGTCGATTCGATTTGCGTTTTCAAATCATTTTCGATTTGGTTTTGACGTTGAAATTTCATAAATTCCAGACGTCGATTCGACGTCGATAACCCGACGTTGTTTCGACGTCGAATAATCGACGTCGATTCGATTTGCGTTTTCGAACCTTTTTCGACGTCGTTTCGACGTCGCTGGGTGACGTCGATTCAACGTTGAATCGACGTCGTTGTGCTCACTGGGATTTTGCTTTTAAATTACGTCTTCAGCTATATATTGGTTCATTAATTTGATTTAAACCTTAATAGGAAGCAGTTTGCGGTGTATTATAAAATTGTTTGCAAATCTAGCTTAGAAATTGATATTTACCAAGGTAGTGTGTATATATATATATATTATATATAAAGTTATTAAATGATGTTGAGTTAATAGTCTGATCTACTTATTCCCCCAATTTTCACATCACCGTTGACATTCCCAATCTCATTCTAAGTCTGTCTACTATTTCATGTAGGACATGTTGAGCACCCTACCCGCCCATATGGTAGGGGTATAAGAAGAGGCCTTGGACCCAACCGAGCATCTTTGAAGCGTCATGTAAGTCCTCTTACAAACTCCGCTGTACCGCCGCAGGTCACAGCTGCTACCAGTATTCCACAACAGACCACAAATGTATTCTCCAGTTCGTCTGCAACTACCTTAAAACTACCCCAACAAGAAAATCAAAATGTTTTCGGTAGTAAGAACAGTGTGAATCAGGGAAATGTCTTTGGGAAAGTTGATAGCAGAAGGAGTCCTTCAAAAAGCAAGGTAAATCACCCAAGTCCATTATCTGGTGTAACCACTAGCCCAAGTAAAGCTGGAGGAAGTATAATGTCTGGATTATCAAACCAGGCAAACATTGAAAGTGGTAGTACAGCATCATTGACAGACAAATCATCTGCCAACCTGTTTCAATCAGCCATTTCCTCGTCTGGTCAGCCATTAGATTCACAGAGAAATAGTCAGTCCCAAAGTATCACAAATGTAGGGTCAATCTTTGGAGCTAGAACTGGCATGCCAACCACAGCTTCACCAAATGTTAACCTTTTTGAGCAAAAAGAGAAACCCAACAGTGAGACTACAAATAATTTAACTCTACATTCTACTGGAAATACAACTCCATTTTCTGGGATGGCGAATGTGGAGAGCAAAGCTCCGAATGTGGAGAACAAAGCCCCGAATGTGGAGAACAAAGCTCCGAATATGGAGAGCAATTTAGGAATATTTGGAAACCCGTTGAAATCTAATACAAACTTTATCACATCAACAAACTCTAATCCTATTGGATCAACTACTCCAAGTATTTTTGGATCAGTAAATTCAAATCCTAATCCAGTTTTTGGTAGTGTTGGATTTGCACAAACCATGAGCCAGCAAGCTAGCACTCCAAATGTGTTCGGAGCAGCTGGATTCTCTGATTCAAATACTCAATTCACAACTGCATTGACAGCAAATCAGGTTACAAATCCCTCAATATCCAGCTCGACCGGTAGCGTGTTTGGAGCCGCTGGATTGCCATCGACCATGAAAAAACCTCAAAATGTAAGCACTGATTCAAATAAAGTAAGTGTATTTGGAAATATGGGAACAACAGATGCTGGCCAGGCGCTCAAACCAGGGCCATTTACAAGCAAATCTACGAATGTGGCAAATCAAGCCTCGCACTCACCCAAGAAAGGTGGTGGCTTTGGAAATGCTGGTTTGCCAATCACCTCCTCCGCCCACATCCCCAAACCAGGTCCTTTTACAAGCAAATCTGCGATTCAAACGTCTCAATTCCCTAACTTAACCGGCAATGCCGTTAATACAAGCATACCAGAAACTTCTGGCCAATCATCTGGGGTTTTTACAAAAAAACAACCAATCAAAACAGGTCCTTTTACAAGCAAAACCGCGATTCAAACCTCTCAATCAACTAACTTTCCCACCGGTTTGCAAAGTGCTGGCTTGTCTTCAACGCTTTCCGACCAATCTCAACAACGTAGCGTTTTCACAAAAGAGCAATTAGCCACAAAACCTGGTCCTTTTACAAGCAAATCTACCAATCAAACTCCTCAATCGCCCAAACTTTCCGGCGGTTCTGAGAACGCTGGCTTGTCTTCAACCTTTTCCGGCCAATCTCAACAGCATGGAGTTTTCACAAAAACCGCAGCCACAAAACCTGGTCCATTCACAAGCAAATCTACGAATCAAAGTTTGTCACAAAACCCTCAAGGTAGCATATTTGGAAATACCGCCCATTCCTCAGCGTCGGCAGCTGCCGGCAATGTGTTTAGCAGAGCGATGTCCGATATGAAGAAGGCGGGAACGAATTCGATGTTTTCTCAGACGCAGCGTTCAGAAACACAGAGTTTTTCGTCTGGGATTTTCACCAAGAGTGGCGCTGCTGTGCAAGCTCGCAGTTCGGGAAGCGTATTCGGAAGTCAGGCTGCGGAATCTCAGGGCGAAAGTATTTTAACCAACCAAAAGGGCAAAGGTATATGGATCTTTGTAGATACGTTACAATATAACTAGGAAAAAGCGTTCTCAATTTCTTTATCTGTATATTTCAGCTGTTAATCCGAAGACCGTGAAACGCACATTGTCGAATACTGATGTTTCTGAATTAACGTCTATCGTCGTCAATGGTTTAACCGGAGAATACTTTGATAAGAAACTCCTGGAGGAACGATTTGCAAGATTTGGTACAAACAAAGTGTCGCTACAACCTTCGAAGCAAACTGCTATCGTTAACTTTGCAGATCATGTATGTGCACTGAATTGTATGTTAAAGTCTATAAATATGTTACAAGGTCAAAATGAATCCAAACAACACCTTTTAATTTCTACATTAAGACGTGAATGAATTTCTTCAACCACGAGTATACAGCACTTGTTCAAAGTTATCGTATCGTTTCCGTTTTACCGCTTGTCCCTGTTTATGTAATTTGTGAGTTTTCTGTGTTCTATATTTCCGTATTTTATCCAGGATTCCGCTAAAAAAGCAAAATCTGGAGCGATTGAAATGTTTCCAATGACGTTAAACGTCAATGTCTTTTATTGTAAGAAGAAGAAAGGTAAGTGATTTTCAAAGCTGAGATTCACACCAGATTCCGCTTGTTTCTCGGGATAATTAACATTGTACAGTTCAATGTTTTAATGATATCAAGATGTATGCGGTTCCAGGCAAAAACTGCATCTTAAAATGGGTAAAACTGCACAGCTGTGTTGTTCTTGCTTTTAAATCTACAGCTTGCGTGATTTCTTCTTCTACTAGCACTGACGATGCATGCCTTCTTGTATTTTTAAACCAGGAACTGGGAGAACATCGAAGACTCCAGAAAAAGCAACAACTGGCAAGAGGGAATATCAGTCACGAAAGATGTCTTTATCAAATGCATTGAATAGCATCGGTAAACTCGTCATAAAATCGATTTCCCTGTTTATATTTATTCCCATAATATTGTGTCAAACGTTTTCTTTACTTCGGGAAATAAAGAACGTGTCCCGCTTTATACCCGTTTGCAACTTTGTAAATCCGTTTACAAACCTGAATTTTCAAACCTGCAGATAAAAATTGCCGAAATTCAAAATTGAGATTTTCCCGCCAAAACGAGCTCCCCCTGCTGTAGGCTGCTGTTCACTTAGGAACCAATCAATTGCGATTATTCTATCAGATTAACCAATCACGAGCGCAACAGATCAGCGAAAGGTGACAGTATTCGAAGTCAAATCTGAACATCGCTTTTAACTTCTTTAAGACACGAGTGAATTCCCGTCAGCTGCGAGCGCACAGGATAGGTTCACAATCCTGGATGATGTTGACAAACGTATACGCGAAGGTTTGTGATTTGTTTTTCAAAATTTGTTTAATGTGGAAGATAACAGCGAATATTCATATATTTATTCATGTCCATGTAACGATCTAGCTATACTGAAGCATGTTCACAGTACATGAGCAATTATATGAGCTAGTTTTTGCTATATATATTATTCCGTCTCGTCATATACATATATATGGTTGATTGACAACTAGTACTCGGCATCGCCTCGTTGGCAATCAGCTCGTATACGACTCAAGCTCATAAATCACAGAGTTGCAAAAAGAGTTCAACCTTCCTCCGGTAGGATTTCAAGTTTTGAAAACCTTCCTCAAAATTACGTTATGACACTGAGTCAAATGGCAGCCAGCATAACGAAATATTTGGTTTTTTGGTACATGCATGTGATCAATTAGAGTGTTCAACTTTGAACCTTCCTCACAAACTTCATTCAAAGCAAACCTTCCTCCGGGTGGCACCCGCGTACCCGCAGCTTTTTTGCAACTCTGATAAATCATATTTATTCTCAGCCGTGACGCCGTACAAAGACATAGCAAACGCTCCAGTGATTATCGGCGTTTGCAGTGACATGTGCCCCGAGAAGGAACGTTATATGAGAGAGTACCAGGCGAATCTGAGCATTTTTGAGATGGTTCCTGGAACTCAAGACAACAGGGTTGGTATACGTACAGTATACTGAGCTTCTAATGAATCAGCATAATTCTCATGAAATGAATCAACTTCATTCTCATGAGATGAATCATGCAGCTTTATTCCAAATGACGTGCAGTATATACGCTTTGTTTCTAGGATGGTGATGCCCCTAAGGTCGAACATGCTAAAGCCGTGAAAGAATATAGCAGATCTGCCGCTGATAAGGTATTCGTGAAGCATTATGCACGCATCGATGTATTTAAAACTGCAAAAGGCATTTCAGTTCCATTTCTTCCGCTAATATCATCTCATTTCTTGTTTAGCTTGAACCTCTGGCACACGAACTGCGTCCAGTCCACGTTCTGCAAATGACCTTGGATTACCTTATGTCCTCCGTAATGAACAACAGCGAGGAGAGATGGGAGGATTGGTTTAATTTTCTTTGGAACAGAACTCGGGCTATACGAAAGGTTAGACTTTGGGTGGTTAAGATAGGTTGAGACTTGAGAGTTCTCAAGCGAAAGTTCGCATGAGAGTTAGCAAGCGAGAGTTTACATGGGTGTTTTCTCAACTATCATGTCCTGATCAAACGAGAATGAGAGTTGAAGAGAGTTAGCAAGCGAGAGTTTATATGAATGTTTTCTCAACTATCATGTCCCAGTCAAACGAGGATAAGAGTTGATAAAAGACGTACAATCATGTACATTTCAGGATATCACCCAACAACATCTCTGTGATGTACAAAGCGCTGATCTGGTGGAAAAAATAACAAGGTATTCATAAGCCCAGCTTCCAGTAGTCATCGAATTTTCCACCCTACTGACCGATAAAACAAATAACTGGATTGCAGGTTTCATATCTTCTGTGCCCACTATTTGTGCGAAGAAGACATGCATTCGTTTGACCCGAAAATCAACAATGAAAATTTGACAAAATGTATGCAAACGTTGAAACAGTTTTACGTCGATCTTTACACTGACCAGGTTTGTAATACTCTCAATGTATTGAATGAGGAGCTTAAGTAGTGACAACGAGTACGAGTAAGGTTCGTCATTCTCGAGTGTTGTTTGCTTACGCCATCAGTCAAAACTCGTATTCGTCGAGCTCTTGAGTACGTGTTTGTTGATTAATTTCGTATTCAAAAGTCCAATGACTACATACGGGTTTCGTCAGATGGCGTAAGCAAAAGCGCCGAGTTTGGCGCGAAAATCTTGTACTCGTAGTCACTGCTAAAGCTCCCTATAATGACTCCTTGAGAACAGCTCAATTGTAGGTGACCATTAACGATGTAAATCAAGTTGTCAGCTCTAGACAGCAAGCTTGAAACATTCTGACGACAATTGTTGATGTAGCATTCTAGACAGTACAGGTCTTGTGAAGGTTTCTTTCAACTAGGTTAAATTTGCTGTTTTTTTAGAAGGTCAAATGCCCGAATGAAGCGGAATTTCAGGCTTATGACATTCTTTTGAATCTCAATGAAGGCGATACTTTACGGTGAGCGTGTTCTTCAGTTCAGATGACCAAAAATAACACTTCATATTGACATCAATCGGCGTTTTGAAATATTTTGAGCTGAAAAGATTAAATGAGATAACGTGAAAAAACTCTAATTTTAAAGGAAAGCGATGCAGTATCGTGTTGAGATTCGCAAATCGCCAGAAGTAAAGTTTGCCTTGGAAGTTTTCAATTCATTGGACACCAATAATTTTGTGAGGTTTTTCAAACTGCTCAAGTCAGCTTCGTATTTGAATGCTTGTATCATGCATCGATATTTCACGCAAGTTCGAAGCAATGCACTCAAAGTGTTGACCAAGACACACTCACCCAAGGAACTGTTCCCAGTACCAGTGCTTCAGGATTTGCTGGCGTTTGGAAACAAAGTAGAGGTGATGTTTCATAATCTGTGTGCTGATGTTACTACTAATACTAGCCTGACTAGTCTAGTACTTACTGCTTTGCGATATTTTATTCAGTGTTTCTCTTTCAACCCTCCTCATTGCAGTACTGCTAGTCTGACTGAGGGCTGACTGTTGCTACTAATACTAGCCTGACTAGTCTAGTACTTACTGCTTTGCAATGTTTCATTCAGTGTTTCTCTTTCAACCTTCCTCAATGTCAGTTGATCATTGCAGTACTTCTAGTCTGACTGAGTGTTGACTGTTGCTTCAAATACTAGCCTGACTAGTCTAGTACTTATTGCTTTGCAATGTTTTATTCAGTGTTTCTCTTTCAACCTTCCTCAATGTCAGTTGATCATTGCAGTACTGCTAATCTGACTGAGTGTTGACTGTTGCTACTAATACTAGCCTGACTAGTCTAGTATTCACTGCTTTGCAATGTTTTATTTAGTGTTTCTCTTTCAACCTTTCTCAATGTCAGTTGATCATTGCAGTACTTCTAGTCTGACTGAGTGTTGACTGTTGCTACCAATACCAACCTGACAAATCTTATACTTCATGTTCATTGTATTTTCCAGACGACTCTGTTTTGCTCACATTACAACTTCACCACAAATGATGATTCCGTTCAATTCTCGAAATCCGCTTTCATTGATCCGGAAACGGCTCTGCCACTTCGTCGGGACACAATCACTATAGAAAGCAAGAGAGACTGCTCCATTGGCGAGGTAATATACAGATTAAACATTATCCAGGCTCAATTTTTTGAAAAGCGCTAATATATGATCCAGAATACTTTCACTGTGTATTTCTTAAACAAGGTTGTGAATGGAGCACCTCTGATGAGTCGGGCAATCCATCGACCCGTGTCCAGTTTTGACTCAAATGGCCGATACATTGGTTTGGAAAATCTCGCTCAAATGTTGCGAAGCATGCCTGATACACCCGACCTTGAGTCACCGTCGTACGATATTTACGAGTCCTCGTTCAGCGCGCCATCTGACCAGCAGCAGACTGTAACGACACAAGCTGTTGATCGGCGGGTGATTTTTAATGAGGTAATAACACATCAATTAATTTTGTTATACTGGATAGCTCTATCAGTTCTAAACTGTTCTCCCTAGAGATCCAGTAAGAATCATCTCTTATTGATCCAGTGCTACTACAGGAGGAAACCTAAACTAAACTAACTTTATTTATACTGGATAGCTCTATCAGTTCTAAACTGTTCTTCCTAGAGATCCAGTAAGAATCATCTCTTATTGATCCAGTGCTACTACAGGAGGAAACCTAAACTAAACTAACTTTATTTATACTGGATAGCTCTATCAGTTCTAAACTGTTCTCCCTAGAGATCCAGTAAGGATCATCTCTTATTGATCCAGTGCTACTACAGGAGGAAACCTAAACTAAACTAACTTTATTTATACTGGATAGCTCTATCAGTTCTAAACTGTTCTCCCTAGAGATCCAGTAAGGATCATCTCTTATTGATCCAGTGCTACTACAGGAGGAAACCTAAACTAAACTAACTTTATTTATACTGGATAGCTCTATCAGTTCTAAACTGTTCTCCCTAGAGATCCAGTAAGGATCATCTCTTATTGATCCAGTGCTACTACAGGAGGAAACCTAAACTAAACTAACTTTATTTATACTGGATAGCTCTATCAGTTCTAAACTGTTCTCCCTAGAGATCCAGTAAGGATCATCTCTTATTGATCCAGTGCTACTACAGGAGGAAACCTAAACTAAACTAACTTTATTTATACTGGATAGCTCTATCAGTTCTAAACTGTTCTTCCTAAAGGTCCAGTAAGGATCATTTCATATTGATCCAGTGTTACTACAGGAAGAAACCTAAACTAAACTAACTTTATTTATACTGGATAGCTCTATCAGTTTTAAACAAACGTCCTAAATAACCACTTTGCCAATAGTGAAAAAAAATCTGTTGTTTTTTTGCTAGGCCACTGAGAAAGCCTCTCAGGATCTGTTAGAACGAACTGTAAATGAGCTAGTTAAAGAAATCAGTGGGGATGCGATTCGCCAGGTGAAGATTTCCACTAGGACCACATGATTTTGAAGCAATTACTTGTAATTTGCACACTTAGCATCTTCTTTGACGAAACAATGAAGAAATCTAGAGTAAACTTGTTAGTTTGTCTCGTTATAGATTGAGCTGCAGCGTCAGTTAACCAAGACTTTTGCTGACGAGTTTATCGACAAATCAGTCAGGAATTTGGTGAAGGAAATCGCAAAAGAATGTTTTGAAAGAGAAGTGGAAGCAAGAAGGTACGAAATAGTCCAGTGCAGTACAGTACCGTACACTTCAGTACACTACAACACAATACAGTACAGTACAGCGCAGTACAATACAACACAGTACGGTACAGTGCAGTGCAGTGCAACACTTCATTCTTTTTTAAGGCAAAGAATTGCCATGGCTGAATCACGTGCTCGTATGTCTGTTGTTGTTCTGAATGAAATTATTGATGAGTTCATGGAAAATGAGTTGAGATCTATGGCCAGAAATGCTAAAATGTAATCCATCATTGTATTTTTTTTTGTCCAAATACTTCATTTCATTCTGTTATAAATCAACATTTTCTCCTTTAGGGTTATTGATCAGCAGATGACGGCGCAAAGCGTTACTAAGATGTCAGCGGTCATTATGCGAGAGATGTTGGAACACGTCATGTATGAACAGTGTCGGGATATTGCGCTCGCCACACGCAAGGAGTTGGTTGGGCAAAAGAAAGCGATGTTGTGGAAAAAGGCTGAAATATTGAAAAGACGTCGGTTGAAGAGATACTTTCAAACGTAAGTCTTTACAATCAAAGAAATGCTTAACATTATACCATAACTTACCATACAATACCTTGATGCACCATACCTTACCGTATCGTGTCTCAACCTACCATCCCAGCGCTTACCATTTTTCCACAATCAAAGAAATGCTTAACATTATACCATAACTTACCATACCATAGCTTGATATATACCTATCATACCATACCGTACTTTACCATATCACACTATTATATGCCTACATAACTAGCTCAACTATACCATACCATACAATGAAATTCAATGCCATACCTAACTGTAAACCTTGGTTTAACCTACCACACCATACCTGCAACTGTATACCTATTAACTGTATTCACCGCAATATCTCCTCAGATGGTCAAAGGAATACGAAACCCGGAAGCATATCAGAAACATTCTTCAAGAATTGCCTGCTACACCTCCCATGTTAACCACGAAACAACAGTTAGAAAAACTTCTCAGTAATAAAACTTCGACTGAAAGCATACAAAAAAGTCCAACCACCTCTTATGCCAGGTAAATTTGACCTTTCACAAAGCTTTTACGTGAACAAGACTTTAGCTGTGTCAACTAGTCCGAAATTCGTCACTTTCGCGGCATACTCGGTTCTGTTTGCTTACGCCATCTGACGAAACTCGTAGTCTTTCGGCATTTGTCCTCAATACCCGACAACTACGCGTTTCGTCAGATGGCGTATATATAAGAAAACAGCTCCGAGTTTGGCGCGAAAATAACGATTTTCGTACTGGTAGTCACTGTTAAACCTCCATGATGACTGGACTGCATCGTCGCTGAAATTGCCAGATTTTCTCTCTGTAGAATCCTTAAGGAACGACAAGATCTTCAGAAGTTATTAACCGATAGGGTGAATCAGTTGGAAATGAAAAGGTATTTATAATGGATGATTCTAGCTGGGCACTAAATTTTTATTCCAGCAAGCAAGAAGGATGCAATTCAACAGCACGGCTAGAAAGGGGGTCTTAAAATGAGTATAAGAGCTAAGTTTGTTTGAAAAATGTTGTAAAATTGTAAACATACAACTTTGACTTAACTAAATATTTGTTGTGTTAGCTTAAGAAAAATTACCGATTCTTTTGCTTTCAACAGTGAGCGATTTTCATGGCATGTAAGATAGATAAATCCAGCTTTGCAGAGCTAAATATTCCATATTTAAAACTTCCATACATATTTCTATTACTATCGAAAGTAATTCCCTTCTTGAGCCGTAAAAACTCGCCCAGATATGCATGCAGCACATCATATCTTGTAACATTTCCTTTAGACTGAGAGCAATGCAGCCAATCAACCTGTCGAAGCTTCACGCAGAACTTGCTGACAGCGAACTCATCTCAACTAAGAAATCCAATTCAAACTGTGTGAAGCTGGTCGTCTCGTTTTCAAATCGTGTCGGACAATTTTCATCCGCAGACATCGAGAGTTTGATCAAATTTAAACTTCGTGCAGAGAATAAGGAGAATGCCTGTTTTGTGCCGGAACTGCTCCAGGAAAAGGTGAGCCGGGAGGAACTTTCTCGTTAGTACCTTTTGTTTTCAAAAGGAGAGAGTTTGTAAGAAATACATTTCGGTAAAACTAGCCTCATGTGTAGTCGGTATACATGAATTTTCTTCGAGAGAAAGTGATTTCAAATGCCTATAAAATCTTTCCTCGTCGGAGCTCACAGACAAAGAAACTCACCAACAATCGCTGTCGTATTGAAATCATGTTTCACATGTATGTACTGTGATTTTCAGGTTGAACAGCTCTCAGGTGTGAAGATACCTTTGAAAGAGTACGAATTCAGACATGATATCAAGGTATAACAAGCATTTGTCGAAAATATATTTTGTTGTCATCAACCCGCACGCGGGTAAACTCACAAGATTTGAACGAACAATTCTTGACCAGCAAGGATAATTTTTAGGTTTGTAAAGATTTGAATTTGTTCAGGGGCTCGCTGATAAACAGTGTTCTTTTTCTAGGCTTGTTACGGCGTTCTGTCCAGCGAGGAGTCGCGAAATGCTGAAAGATATCATTTACTCCGCGGTCTGACTGGGGTATTCTTTGTACTTGATTCAGACGAGAAGACCAGGGACGAATCGGTAAGACTTGGTGGCGTGTGGAAACCGGGGGGAGGAGAAACCGGGAAAGGGGGGGTGTTAGTGTGAGTATGAGTGAAGTTCTCCTCTTTTCTTGGTGGGTTTCCTGGGCATTAATGGCGTGCAATTCGCACATATTTTCATCTAGTTTTGGAGCAATTCTCGATCAAGATTGCGGCAAATCTTGAGAAGCAAACCTCGCGTACCTAAAATTCCTTTAGTAATTATGAACATCGACAGTGGAAACATTGACTCACCAGGTACGACCTTTTAGTATATCTGAACTATATTGAGTTAAAAACTTCATGTAGTTTTTTTTAACGTGGAAATAATGATACATATTACATTTTCATCAAGGTTCCGTCGAAGAGATTCTTGATGTAGCCGAGTTACTTAGAGAAGATCTTATTTCTGAATGCGTCGTTTACGAACTGCGACGGCCAGCTGATACTGACGAACTTCATGAACAGGTTCGAGACATTCATTCATCCTTTAAGCATTTAGACTTTAGCTAAAAAGGAAATTCAAATTTAAAAATCATTCTTTTTGTTGAATTTCTCAGCTATTTTTGATATAGAGTTAAACCATTAAAAGTCTCTTGGTTTTTCGTTGTTTACAAAGATTGTTCACGCGTTGCTCTGGTTAATGGCACACAACCCAGAAATGCCCTCAATCGGACAGGATTCTTTGAAAGGTTTCGTTGAAAAAGGTTGGTTGAACATTCATTTTTAGCCATCCGATTTCGTCTGCCCGGTTGGCAAAGCCTGTTAATAAAAGTTCGGTGTCCCCTTTGTCAAAATTATAATTTTCTTTCAGAGGTATTAAAGCATTTTACAATCCCGTTACAAGAAGAAGCGATGCTTAGAAAGAAAGCCTTGTTGCAACCTCAGGTAAATTAAAGTTTGAAAAATTTTGATTCCTATCAGAAATAAAATAAGATAAATTTCTGTCCTCGTTTCTGCAGTGCCCAGAGGTAATCGTCGATCTGTACAACGCCGTGATCGATCACGTCATTTCCATGGTAACAAACGTTCAACTCCGGAATATTTCGTGGCCCGCCCCAGAGTTCATTGCTACAGAACAATCGTCAGGTATTCACAATGGCAGCGTTTATGAAATTGTGTGAAATTTAACTAAAGCAACTGGAAGTATAATCCCTTTAACTTTTCTTAGATATTCCTCACGTTTCCTGGAATTCAACAGAAACTCTGGAGCGCTTGCATTCAGTTCTCAGAAAACTCAAACTACCAATGCCATATTCTCCCGCTTCGGATGGTAAGGACAAGCAAATGCCGTTATACAAAATCGTATCTGGGGGGGAGTGGAGTGGGGGGAAATTCCGCTTCGTTTTTGGGCTCTTTCCAAGAATCCCTCAACACTCTTTTTGCAAAAACTATTTTCCAGGAACCTGGCAATCTGAAAGCATATTGTGCCTTGATTACATCAATGTTTTACTGGAGAAAGAACCTTTGAAAACATTTGGTTTCGCGTTAATCAACCGGTATGGCATTTTGTGCAAATATATATAATGATCATATTCCTACAATTCCAGCTTCCGCGACTTTGTACGATTTCAGGATTGAAAGAATTTTAAGTCCGTATGCGAGCGATCGTTCTTACGCGTCGCTGACCGCGGCAGATGTACCCTGGCCAGACGTCGTCGAAACATGCATTAATACCCTTCTCTCCTGGGTTCATACCATCTCTGATGTAAAGAACGTGTATTACTTCTCGCAAGATCTTGACGGGTTTAAACCGCCAACATTGTGGACACAGGCTGTGACAGAAACCGTCAAACTGATAGATAATAATTCACCTAAAATCCGGTCAGTAATTTCACTAGTTTATTTGTTTTATTGTGCAAGTTCACACGTTCGAATTCAGCAATTTTCTCGGCTCTGTTTGTACAGAAAGAACAAACAAACGTGTTCGAATGGCCGAATTTATACACAAAAGGATAAATGTATTTTTTCTCTTTAGAAGGTCGAAAACATCAAAATTGGACGATCTGACCGTTCAGGTTGAGCGAGAACTGACGAAATTAGAAAGTATGTACATACATGTATTGGGGGGAATACTGGAGAAGGGGGATACTATAGAAGGAGGGGAGATCAAGGCTACTGAATGGTAAATTGGTCAAATATCTGTTAACACTCCGCGATATTTTTCGTCTTTGCACAGCTTCGCACTCGAGATTAGATGTATCGGAATCAGAGCTGTTTGTTGACGACAGCGTGGAAGAAACAGCTCGACGTTTTCACCGAAATCTTGGCAAGGAGAAACGAAATTGGAAAAGGTAAATCCGCGCATTTGAACTAAGGTGAAAATATCCTCGCGGTTTAATATTTTGCCAACGAAATTACAGGTTTGAAGAAGGCTTACGATCAATAGTTGACGAAGAAGATGTTCAACATTTAAACTTAAGCGTTCGTGGTCAAGGTCTCAAACGAAAAAACCCTTCTTGGAGCTCTGGCTATAGAATTAGAAAGGTTAGACAATGTTACAAGTGTTAAAAGATTCAGAGCCCAGATACAGTATACTATACTTTGCCTGTTCAGCAACATCACAATTACCTACGTCGCTTTACAACTTTTCCAACGAGTACAGTTTCTATATTATTATCTTCATTTTAAGTGCGAAACTAAGCTTTTGCCAGCTGAACTTGATGTTGCACTTTTGCAAATCAGGTGTCGTTTGGTCAGAGCTTATATACAATAACCGCCATAATACCAATATTTAACTCGTAATATTTCAGTCGAATGCAAAGAAAGACAGTGCGGCTGAATTGGACGATACTTTACCAGACTTCAACTCAACATTCAGCTATTTTGAGACTAGTCTTGGATCGTTACGCGATGGTCTTGAAATGCACAGGTATGTGACATTGATTTTGGGGACAGTCCAGATAGCCCATTCACTCCAGGATTATTACCATTTTATTACAACTACTCTGCGCCGAATACGCCATTTTCCTGCGAACTCGACCATGGTCGTATTTGCCATTTTCCTGCGAACTCGACCATGGTCGTGTTTGCCATTTTCCTGCGAACTCGACCATGGTCGTATTTGCCATTTTCCGGCGAATTCGACCATGGTCGTATTTGCCATTTTCCGGCGAACTCGACCATGGTCGTATTTGCCATTTTCCTGCGAACTCGACCATGGTCGTATTTGCCATTTTCCGGCGAACTCGACCATGGTCGTATTTGCCATTTTCCGGCGAACTCGACCATGGTCGTATTTGCCATTTTCCGGCGAACTCGACCATGGTCGTATTTGCCATTTTCCGGCGAACTCGACCATGGTCGTATTTGCCATTTTCCGGCGAACTCGACCATGGTCGTATTTGCCATTTTCCTGCGAACTCGACCATGGTCGTATTTGCCATTTTCCGGCGAACTCGACCATGGTCGTATTTGCCATTTTCCGGCGAACTCGACCATGGTCGTATTTGCCCCGAACTCGACCATGGTCGTATTTGCCATTTTCCGGCGAACTCGACCATGGTCGTATTTGCCATTTTCCTGCGAAGTCGACCATGGTCGTATCCGCCATTTTCCTGCGGACTCGACCATGGTCGAATACGCCATTTTCCGGTGGTATTTTTTTTTCAACAATAATAATAATGCGTCATCGTAGACTACAATAGGAAACTGGATGAATGGGCTATATCTAAGATGGCAAAGGTGAACGTTCGCCCGGGCAAGCTTCATTTATGAATATTTTTAGCATTTATTTCCAAAAGTATTTCCTCGTTTCTCTCTCAATTTAGACATCTTCAAAAATTGACAGAAAAAAAGCTCAAAGAAGCCTTAGACGACGACTTTGATTGAAATTCTTCTCGTTTATCCCTAATTATCCGCATGGATCTGATTTGCTCCTTGTTATCCTGTCTACGTCGGTTATGATGTAATCATGTTTGGTCGTATTTGGGGCCTGAATCAAAACTGTCGGTCAAGACTATGATCGATAAGTCAATCAATTTCATGGTTATTTTCTTTACCCAACACGCAATTATATCTATTGCTATATGTTAAACTGACACAAATAAAAAACTGTCGAATGCCGCAATATTTTCGTATTTTCGGATCATGCACGTTTAACTAAAGCCGGAAAACAGCTATTACACGTTTCCCATGTAAAGATTTAACCATTTCACGAAAACTATGAAATATGTTTTTAATTGAATATATTCTTATAGTTATCTCAACCTATTAGTCTGTTTAGTTTTCGAAAGTAATTTCACCAGGGAAAGATGGATATTGTAAAATATTTTCTAAAAACAACTACTGTATATCTGTTAAAATGCGGGAAATTCAGACGTGAAATAAGTGTTTTTCACCTAAAGCATTGTTCGTGATTTTGAACTTCAAACTGCACGGTCCAGTCATAAATCGTAACTCAAAACTACGCATTCAATCACCAGAACAAGTGTTTGTTCACGATTTAACAAGTATTAGCAATTCACAGCTAACGAGAATACTTTTCTCACCCTCTTGGTATATCATTCTACTTAATTTTTTTCATACATCCGTGCATGGCTCATTCCACGTCATATTGACGCATACACGAGCTACTTTGATAATCAAAAATGCTTTTCTTTCTTTATTGTTGTAAACTGAGCTCGCGGGCAGAGAAATATCAACTTTGTTTGCAAACAAAATCAATGCATGTCCGGGCGAATCTCACCTGGCATTAATTTGAAAAACGAGCAATTGCTGAAATAATATTGGATTATTTCTTACTCAGACAAAGTCTTTCACAAAAACACGTTCACCAAGTTTAAGTATGTTTTTAAAAAAATTCGTAGGCCTACTCATAGTCGGCAAGAATCCAAATAGGCACGACCGACCACTGCCTACAGGATATCCCTTTAAATCGTTTGTCTTTCATTGTATGCTTAGTCGATACTAATTCACTAACACTGACGCAATTCTTCAAAATCCGACGGAAGACTTCGTCCCTCTCAGACTCAGAACAGTATATTTCAGGGCAAGATATCATAGAAAAAAGAAGCAGCTATATAATACCTATAATATCAGAATGAAGTATTCTTATTTTCTTCTCTTGTTCTTCCTGACGAAAGAATTTTGTTCAAACAAGGTAAGCGAGAAATATGCATGTATTCATTTATTGAAAATCGAGTGCTTTACAAACGCCTGTATTCAAAAAGCTCACTCACACTCATTGAGTGTGGCATATAAATTTTGTTAATGCTGGTCAATGAGAAAGTTTTCTTTCAATAGATGGAAAGATATAACGTAAATCACTGAAAATCAAGCCCCTTTTCGGCTCGAAATACCGCCATGGAAACGTTATGAGAAGATTAGGATCTCCCACTCAATGAGTTTGAGTGTGAGTGAGCTTTTAGAATACAGGCGAAAGTCACTGAACGTGACCAACAACAAAATTCTTAAAGTGAAACCTACAACCTTGGCTGTTATATGCACTTTGATTCGACATGTCCTTTCAAAACTTTCGACCTTAAACTTAACAATAAGCGAGCAAGATTCGACGGATTATAACCTATATATAGTTATCACCTTTTAGGCCGAGGAAGTCACAAGACTGGCCATATCTATAGAGGAAGTTTATGATTCTTATTGTGTGTCTATATTTGCAACGCGCGGGTAAATTTAATGCGAGTTTCTCGTGACATTCGCATAGTTCGTAACCTTGATCGTGAATATTATCGCAATGACTTAAATTAATCGGGGCCAGAGATTTTGAAATACTCTGGGTTTCTTGTGTTTAATATATTTAATGTCAGGAGGGAAGTGTTTCATATATTAGCTGCTTTTAAAGTACCATGCAAATAGAATTAAAATACATAAGACTGAAGCCCCGTTTACCGCTGCACTCAATTTATTGGCACGGTAAAGCTAAAATTGGTACCCGTGCCCAATTTTTGTTAATCTTCAAACTACTACCAAACAAAGAGCGAGCACGGACGAAATGGGCAAGGGGGGCACCCTTTTTAGCCGTTCCATGGTGCCAATAAATCGAGTGTAGTGCATGTAAACGTGCATGGCTTGAATTAGGAAATATTTTCAAGTTAAAAAGCGCTTTGAACTAGTGAGAAATCATCTCTCACTCAGAAATCTAATTGTGATCAGGTGCATGCATGTGTAGAGAATGTCCTCATTTCAATTTCCTCATTTCAATTTCTGCGTATTTTACAATGTTAAGAGGAAGACGACATACGATATCTCGGGCCATTGCTGGTGTCACTGTGAGGGCAAGCGAGTATTCGACCCGCAGAAAATCTTCAACAAATAACTCAGGAACGATATTCTCAGGAACAGAAATGACTTCAGAAAACGTGTACGATAAGCCTGTTTGAATTGCGTCTTGAAGTAAACGCTTCTCTATTGTCAAACGTTGTCTTCGTATTTTTTTGGATTCGAAAATTAAGGTGTCTCGCAACAACTCAAGTGCTACATTTTTGGTGTGATTTCTGAAAAAAGCGTGATCAATTTCGATCGTCGCTTCGATAGAATCGCCAAGATAATAGCCTCTTCTTGGCACAGACAACTTGACATAAACTGCACCGTAGTTAACACCAAAGAACGACCGAACATCTTTCTCAGCTGTAATTTCGCTGTACTTAAGCGAATCTGGAATAAGGCTAAGATTGCTCACTTCGTGAACATAAAATTTTTTCCAATATTTTTTCGTCACTTCATAGAATTTCTTGTCGACGTCAATATTCGCCTTAATAGCGTATGAAACACCATCAGAAAAATAGCCGTCTTTATGGTATACGTAGAAGGAAGATGGCACTTTCGACGGAAGTTTGAATACGAAGGGATATGTATGTTCACCACTATTAAGAACGATAGTCGACTCGCGTTGTTGTGATTGTGGGCTGACTAACGTGATTTTTCTAACCAAGAAAAATTTCAGATTTTTTTTTGAAACAGCCAAATCATTTTGAGTGGGATCTCTCCAATGGGCTTTCCCGACCAACAAAACGAACACAGATTTCGCTTTGATGACTTCGCTTAGTTGAATAACGAGGGAGCCTCGTACGGTTTCCCCAGAATAAAACACCTCTTTGCCATTGAGAGTCAGCGATACTTTCGGTTTTACCATGGCGTAGACTAATAAGTCTGTCGCAGGAAAGCTTGAGTCCTGAACTTGTCGCTTACGTCGTTACGAGTATTTTAACCACCAGAATTGAGCTTCAAATATCTATCAATCGATCGGAATAATGTTTATTATTATTGATTCTAATGACAGCTATTAGCTAAACAAGTTGTACTCGTTTATCTTGTGACTATGGAATAACAAACGCTGGCGAAAAATTTGGTGTGATCTGCAAATATTGAAACATGATACGCGTAATACGATACGACTTTTGGCGCAAAGTGTGAATATATCTTCTTTTTTTTAACCTCTAAAAACTTTAACTTTTGAACTATAACTTGAACTTTATTTATCCACGGACTACGGTGGTCGGTGGGGATTCATCAGGGTTACAATTATAGCTACATACATTAAACTACAAATATACCACTAAATATATAATACAAATACAAATGAACCTGTTTTCCTCTTGTTTTTATTAACAGGCAGAAGAGAATTATATCCGTAAAGATGGCTATTGTATGTGGTACGGGCAGTGTGGTACGAGCCCTTTGACACATGAGCCTCTGAATTGTCTTTATAATGGACCAGCAAAGCCAGTTGACGGACAAGAATCTCACGATATCCTGGCCCAATTATGTCCCGAATTTCTACAGACACATAGCAACGTCTGTTGTTCGTACGATCAACTTGCCAGCCTCCAATCTGGTATGAAAAGCGCACAGCAAATGATGGGTCGTTGTCCAAGTTGCTGGAAAAATTTTCGCGAGTTGTATTGTCAAATGTCTTGCAGCCCAAACAATTCAATGTTCATCAACGTCACTCGGGTTGTTGAGACAGTCGAGGAGAAAAAGTCCATAATGTCCATCCAGTACTTTGTCGATAAGGAGTTCAGAGATGGCTTGTACAACTCCTGTAAGAATGTCATTTTTCCAAATAGTAACAAGAAGATTATGAACTTCATGTGTGGTACTTCAGCTGACAAGTGCAACCCATTGAAATTTCTGAGGTTCATTGGTAATCCCAACCTAAATGGTGTGTCCCCATTCTTAATTGAATATCCAACAACAACAGGTCGTGGATTCTTCAAACCGATGAATACAGTGATAAGACGGTGCAATGAGACGTTTTCTGAGCCGTATGCCAACCGAACGGCACAATCGTGCGCTTGTCGGGACTGTCCGCAGTCATGTCATCAACCACTGCCGATAAAGTTAGAGTATGTGACAACTAAAATCATCGTGACGCTGAAACCGTCAAGTAAATTGAATAAAGGATCATGTTATCGTAATTATTTCACAAAGCCCGGCCAATGTTTGCTTACCGGGACGATACTACGCTTCGATATACTGCAAAAGGTGAGGGTAGGTGAGGGTAAGTGGGAGTAAGTGGGAGCTAAGTTAGGGCAAGGGAGGATAGATAAGGGTGAGTGAGGATACGAGTATGAGGATAGGATATGAGTGAGGGTGACGAGTAGGGCAAATGGGGATACGTAGGAGTAAGTGGGGGTGAAGAGGGAAACATTTTTCCTCAGTCCATTTGTGAATAAAGTTCTTACACACCCATTATGTATAATGCATTAATTAATGAAAAAGGGATCGCCGTGAAAAACAAAGATAGAAACAATTTTTACCCGCCCAAAATATCTCTTGATTAAAATAACGTTGAGTTTGCAGCAGCACTGGCTGTTACATCTAGAAATGGCTATTTAACTTCAGGCTTATTATTCTACTTTTTAGGTTTTGCAGCTTCAACATTACTTGGCTAATATGTCCGTCGATTATGGTCCGGGGAAGACCAGTCTTGGCGATTTTTGTTTCAAAGCTTCCCCCAACAATTGCATCGTGACGAGTGTCCTGCAGTATTGGCAAAATGATGTGAAGAAATTAAACAAATGTATTGATGTTTTCGATGATTCGTGTACACCTGATGACATCACGCCGACTAAGGCTGCCTGGGGTGATCATTTAAAAAAATGTACCATGTAAGTAAAAATTATATGACACACATTAAATTGGGTATATGATATGACATAAGGCATATTTGGTCATTTACTAATAAGTAAATAATGACCAATTATTCCTCGTCGTAAAGCTGATAAAACCTGATAATTGTAATCGGGAGTTAAATCACTTAAATTGTCTTAATTTCAAATGGAAATCACGCACACATCTACATTAAAGCCAGGACCAGTTGAGAAAAATGTGTCAACTATCTCTGATTTCCCCTGCAGGGGCCGGTTGTATCAAGCCCGTTTAGCTTAAACGGTGGATAAGTCAAAAGTAAATAACACTCTTACAACTCTGTTGAATGAGTCAACTTGAATATCATGCACTGAATATGTAGTTGTAAACAGTATCTTTGTATTATGGCTAAAAACATTTTGTTTGCTTGTTGAATAAAACGATAGACTTGATTTCTATTTTGAACTTATCCACCGTTTAAGCTAAACGGGCTTGATACAACCGGCCCCAGGAATCAAGCATACGCCCGTTTACGACCCCGGTGCATTGCTCAACGTCAGTGGCAAGACTATTGCACCGGCATTGCGTAGACGTAGTTTGATTCTTGCCGGAGGAACGGTAGTTGACACATTTTTTCGACTGTTCTTGCCATAAATTTGATTAGTGTACGATTTCCACTCGAACTGATTAAGACCGCGTACCATTCAACTCTTTCTAAGTCTAAATCATAGTCTACTTTTCACCCACAGCGATCCTTTCCTAAAAAACGACTTAACTGTCTTAAAACTCTCCTGTATAAGTTCGTACGGCATTCCTGTTCCTCCTCAAACAGTCCTGGGTGGATTTGATGACACGAATTACGCAGATTCAAGTCTTCTGTACGTTAGCTTTGCCATCAAAAAGAGGCTAAGTGACGTGGAGCTTAAGAAAGCTGATGCCTGGCAGGCAGCGTTGTTGAAATATTTACAAAACTTCAAGGATGAAGATTTGCAGTTGGCCTACGTTCCCTTTCTTCTAATCTCCGACGGCACTGAAGAAATACGCGTTTGAACAACGGTACCTTTTGGGACCTTGTCTGAATTTTGGACTTTGGTCTTTGAAGTTAGTGCTATTGGTTTTTTCCACAATTTTCTTATTGATTCGTCGCATTGCAGTGTTTTAAATCACCATACAAAACAATGGAAAGTGTTACAAAATGTAACACGAACATTTTGATTAGTTTTAAGTTTGTTACAATTAGTTGATAATAAAATTCTAACCGAACTCTCGCGTTACTTGACATACTAGTAAGGTAAAAAAATACTGTAAAAACACACACACAATTCACCGCAGGAAGAAATCTAGTCTCTCCTGTTAATCCTCCGATCTTGTTATCCACTTGATTGAACAAGCAAGAGCATGTTCACAATGTATTGTTTTCTTTATCAAATTAATCACTTTGCACAATCGTCAATTGAAGTATATTTACGCAATAGACAAGTTATAATTCAATTTTCAAATATGGCCTTAAGGCAATTAGTTCCTCTAAAAACAGTGGCTTTAAGCTTTCAATATCTTCAAATATCCTAAGATTTCAAGCTTCCATCACGATGAAGAGGCGTAATGCATTTTTGCGGTCTAAATTTCATGCAAATTTTCTGAAATTTTCAGAAGCCACCAGAAATATTTCAGTCCCGTGACTGTCATGCCTCAGCGTTTAATTTCCAATCGGGCACATCGGACGATTTTTTTAACCAATCAGCGCTGGATATTTAACAAGCGAACCAATCAGAGACGTCGTTTAGTGAGGTCGTTCGCCCTGTATTTCGCCCTTTGAGTTGTACAACCTTGCTCTATAATTTCGAAGTTGTGTCTCAACTTGGCGATTGAACAAGGATTTCATTTTGAAATCGGCTGTAAGTTTGATCGCCAAGAGAAGTGAAAGGGCCTTTTTGAACGATTCAAAGCTTTCTTGGGACTCGGTTTAAGGATCTCACAATGAAAATATACGTTTTGTTTATTGTTGTTTTCTGCTTGCAGTGCTTGGCAATACTAACGAAGGTACGTCATGAGTTGCGAAAGACTCTAATATTTTAAATATACTGAAAAGTCGTGACTGGATTTTTTTCTCTTCAAACAGGCAAATAATTCAACGGGTTATATCCGTAAAGAGGGCTACTGTATGTGGTATGGGCAGTGTGGAACCAATCCTCAGACGCACCAACCTATAAATTGTTTTTACAATGGCCCTGCGAAACCAGTTGATGGCAAGGCATCGTTTGGAATCTTAGCCCAGTTATGCCCAGAATACTCACACAAAGATAGCAAAGTCTGTTGTTCCTACGATCAACTTGCAAGCCTCCAATCTGGTATGAAAACCGCACAGCAAATGATGGCTCGTTGTCCAAGTTGTTGGAGGAATTTTCGCGAACTGTACTGCAGCATGACTTGCAGTCCTAACAATTCGTTGTTTATAACTGCCACTGATTTTACCACTACGAATTCCGGGCCGCGCGCCATAAAGACCATCAATTTCACTGTCGCCGAAACATTCAGGGATGGTCTATACAACTCCTGTAAGAATGTCATTTTTCCAAGCAGTAACCAGAAGATTATGAACTTCATGTGTGGTACTTCAGCTGACAAATGCAACCCATTGAAATTTCTGAGGTTCATGGGTAATCCCAACCTAAATGGTGTGTCCCCATTTATGATTAACTATCCAACTATCGTAAACAAAGGTATCGTCCCAATGTCTGCTGACATCCACTTATGCAATGAGACAGTATTCGAACCCTTCACAAATTCAAACCGATCGCATTGTAGTTGTCAGGACTGTGTGGAATCGTGTCCTGTCATACCTCACTATGTACCACCAAAGCACTGGCATTTGGATATTGGTGATATTCACTTCAATGTTATAAGCTTTGCCACCTTGTTAGTGTACCTGGCCTTCCTGGTGGTTTTCATAGCAGGAAGTATACTTTATTATAGTCTTTCAAGCAGTCGTCACCCCTTCCAGACCCATGAACATCCGAGAGCCATCATCGGTGGTCGTCAAGGTGTCCTCGAGAAACTCGGCAAGAGATTCGATGAGACAATAAAAAATATTTTCACAAAATGGGGCTATATTTGCTGTGAATACTCAATTATTGTAATAATAGGTGCTGTTGTCTTTGTCATCATTTGTTCAATTGGGTTAACAAAGTTTACGGTTGTGACGGACCCAGTAAAATTATGGTCAGCACCTGGTAGCCAAGCGAGGCAAGAAAAGGATATATTCGACACGCAATTTCAACCATTCTTTCGAACCGCCCAGATTATATTTTCTCTCAAGTCCGACAGCAAATACCGCAATAAAAGCACTAGTTGTTATACGAATTACTTTTCGAAAAAGGGTGATTGCATTCTAACTGGGGAGATATTACATCTTGAAATACTTCACAAGGTAGGTTTCTGTAAGGCTTATTTTGTAAATAAGTAATTTAGCTTGTAGGTACACCACGTTACAAGTATTTAGTACTGCAAAGCTTTCGGTCCATTAACCCGGGTCTTCATCAGAGCAATTGAACCTACAAGCTAAATTACTTATCGATTGTCACCATGCAAACATACAAGAATATTACTATTTTGTAAAGTCTTGAAACAAAGAGAGACATAAAAGCATGTAAACCATAACCTTAAGTCTTAACCCAGGGTTAGTGCTATAAACCGTAAGCTTTGCACAAATGGCTGTGGAACTTCTAGGATCTTATTTCTTCTCTCATTAAAATTTCTTTCATTATCATTTGTACATGTATTTCTAATTGATTGGCTCACTTGATGTAGGTTCTGAAGGTGCAAACGCATTTAGTAGATATGGTGGTAGAATATGGTTCTGGGAACATCACACTTCAAGATATATGCAAGAAACCAATGGCGCCGCAGAACAATAACTGTACTGTGTTGAGCGCACTGCAGTATTGGCAAAATGATGCTAAGAAATTAAACAAATGTATTGATGCTTTCGGTGACCCATGTACACCTGATAGCTTCTCGTCGACTAGGGCTGCCAGCTGGGGTGATCATTTACAAAAATGCTTCAAGTGAGTATAACTGTTAAGATCACTTGGTATATTGTTGTGGAAAACAAATTCTGAAAAGACAAGACATCTTAAGAATCAATATATGAATCCAACAAGACACAGGTTGAAACTGAAAATTTTCAACTTTATTTTTAAGTCATCTTCATTCTGTCTGAACCTGTTTTCAGTTTCAACCTTGGTTCTGCTTCAATATTGATTCTGAAGATATCTTGTTCTTCCGGTATTTTGTTTTTACTTTACTTTTTTAAATTGTCGGCTGGTTGTTTTGTAACACAACCACAATACTCGGCACTTCTAATCCATTTACCTGGTCTGGGTTGTATGAAACTCTCATGTAGTAATTTTTATTACTATCTTTGGTCAGGTGCACACATACCGGAGGCTGAGACAGCCCCTCTGATTGTAATAATTATCAAGTTTATACCAGGAAGGGCCAGTCTAACTGGACTTGAGCAATTGAATTAAAAACTAAATTAAATATTGAGAATTTGCATATATGGTCACACTATTAATACCTCAGATAGACATCTGTCCATCACAAAATCAAATGTGAATTTTTTAAATTCAGTAATCCATCAGCATCGAATGATACAACAGTACTTGGCCTACCTTGCACCAGCTTATTTGGTGGGCCTGTCGCACCAAGTATTGCTTTTGGCGGTTATGAAGGAAAGAACTACAGCGATGCTAATGTACTAGTGGTAACCATAGTGATAAACAATCATAAAGATGAGTCGAAAAACGAGAAGGCGAAAGCCTGGGAGAAGGAATTCCTTACTTACATGAAGAATTACGATGATGAGGATTTAAAGGTGGCCTTCATGGCACAACGTTCAATAGAAGATGAGATTGAGAGAGAAAGTCACGCAGATATATACACAATCGTTGTCAGTTACTTGATCATGTTTCTATACATTACCTTTGCTTTGGGGCAAGTAAACCAGTGTGATCGATTCATGGTGAGTGTAAAATTTATGGACCTCTAGGAAGAACAGTTTAGAACTGATAGAACTATCCAGTATAAATAAAGTTCGTTTAGTTTAGGTTTCCTCCTGTAGTAACACTGGATCAATAAGAGATGATCCTTACTGGACCTCTAGGAAGAACAGTTTAGAACTGATAGAGCTATCCAGTATAAATAAAGTTAGTTTAGTTTAGGTTTCCTCCTGTAGTAACACTGGATCAATAAGAGATGATCCCTACTGGACCTCTAGGAAGAACAGTTTAGAACTGATAGAGCTATCCAGTATAAATAAAGTTAGTTTAGTTTAGGTTTCCTCCTGTAGTAACACTGGATCAATAAGAGATGATCCTTACTGGAACTCTAGGAAGAACAGTTTAGAACTGATAGAGCTATCCAGCATAAATAAAGTTAGTTTAGTTTAGGTTTCCTCCTGTAATAACACTGGATCAAAAAAAGATGTTTACGTCAATTTTGGCACTCACACGTTTTTAAAATATTTTTTCAGATTGATTCCAAATTCAGTCTGGCATTTGGAGGCATCATGATAGTGCTTAGCTCTGTCCTGTGTTCATTGGGAATCTTCAGCTTCGCAAACAAACCAGCAACATTGATTATCATTGAAGTTGTGCCGTTCCTTGTCCTGGCTGTCGGTGTTGACAACATATTCATTCTCGTGCAGAATTACCAGCGCGACATTCGTCACCCCAGCGAAAGTGTTTCAAGTCAGATTGGTCGAGTGCTTGGCGATGTTGCCCCAAGTATGTTGCTGACGTCTACATCTGAAGCTGTGGCTTTTGCATTTGGTGAGTATTTTCCTTAGATAATACAATGTTTACGCCAGACTTGATATCAGACTGCACCTTTGCGGTCACTTAACTGGACACACAGATATTTACAGATCAGTAGCTAGGATGAGTACTTCCTTTAGATAATACAGTGTTAAAGTTGATATCAGACTCCAGCAGTCACTTAACTAGACACATCATAGATATTTACAGATCAGTGGCTAGGATGATTACTTTCTTTAGATAATACAGTGTTAAAGTTGATATCAGACTCCAGCAGTCTGTTAACTGGACACATCATAGATATTTACAGATCAGTGGCTAGGATGACTGGATGAGTACTTTCTTTAGATAATACAGTGTTAAAGTTGATATCAGACTCCTTTGCAGTCTGTTAACTGGACACATCATAGATATTTACAGATCAGTGGCTAGGATGATTACTTTCTTTAGATAATACAGTGTTAAAGTTGATATCAGACTCCTTTGCAGTCTGTTAACTGGACACATCATAGATATTTACAGATCAGTGGCTAGGATGATTACTTTCTTTAGATAATACAGTGTTAAAGTTGATATCAGACTCCAGCAGTCTGTTAACTGGACACATCATAGATATTTACAGATCAGTGGCTAGGAAAAATCTTCAAAATGTTTTCAAAGTATCACTGAAGAAATTCCAATTGTTTTGTTAAAACTGAGCTAATATCTCATACAAATTTGTTGTTTATCAGATCAAATCTGAAACTTTGTCCCACAGCATTCACTAGCTGTGGATGTCATAGGCTCCTGTTGGGAAGCAATGGGCTAGAAACATCCCAGTTGTTTATATTCGCCTGAATTTTGTCTTACAGGTGCGCTATCTAACATGCCAGCCGTCAAAGTATTCTCGTTGTATGCATCTGTTGCTGTCTTTGTCAACTTTCTCCTGCAAATTACATGCTTTGTTGCGTTGCTGTCCATTGATGTCAAACGACAAAGGGTATGTATCAGATTTTTTAGTGTGGGCAGTGTAAAACTATAACAGGGAATACGTGGAACTGTGGAAGAGAAATGAAACTAAAGATTGTTTTATTGCAATAAATGTTTTTCAATCGCCTTCATCACACTGGCTGGATTTATGATAGGTTGTGAATTTTGAAAAAAAAATTTATAAAAAAAAAATTCAACAAATAATTCAGTAGCTTTAGTCGCCCTAAGGTGTATACATAAATCCTCTTATATGAAGTAACGTGGCCTATCACGTGTTAATACACGCGTAAAAACGCTCAGGTTGATGCAAGTTGATACAAACAGGATGGAGCAATGTTGTGCTGCCCACATTGTTCAGAGTTGTTATCAACATTGAACAATATTGTTGAAACTGAATCGGGTGTAACAATATTGTTCAATATTGATAACAACTCTGAACAATGTGGGCAGCACAACATTGCTCCATCCTGTTTGTATCAACTTGCATCAACCTGAGCGTTTTTACGCGTGTATTTATCAAAAGGAGGAAATCATCGCAGCGCGGCAAACAATGCAAGAATAATGAAGACACCGTTATAAAGTGTGTTTTCCTTTCTGTGTTTCCAGGAGGAGCGTTACGATATAATCTGTTGCTTCCAGAATTTGAAACTTCCTAAACGGAAGCACTCTCCTAGTCTTCTGTACCAGTTCTTTGACAATCTGCTCTCGCCGGCGTTACTGTCGAAGTTTGTGAGACCTGCTGTGATATTGTTCTTCACCACCCTCCTGGCTCTCAGTATTATGGTCATCCCAAGCATTGAGGTCGGCCTGGATCAATCACTTTCCATGCCCAAGGTGAGTCAATCTCCATAGTCCATAACTTTTGGTCCCTGAGAATTGCTAGACTCCTTTTGGAAGTGTTTAACCCATTTAACTTAGGATGAAGGACAATGAATATAGTTTTGTTAAATCAGTAAGAAACTGTTTTCTTCCAACGAGGATGGTAAAATCATACGACATTAGATAGAGTGAGATACTGGTAGTGATACTGGTCACATCTGGGCGCATTGCAAGCTAATGGGTTAACAAGAGGCACTGACAGATAGTTTTGTTAACTCATTAACTGTATTCTTCCACTGACGAGTAAAATGATCTGGCGTTAGACAGAGTAAAATACTATAAAGTACGTCACATTTGGGTGCATTGCAAGCTAGTGGGTTGACAAGAGACTCTGACAGATAGTTTTAACTCATTAACTGACAGTATTCTTCCACTGACGAGTAAAATCATCTGGCATTAGACAGAGTAAAATACTAAAGCACGTACTTTGTGTACAATGTACTTTTTACCGTAAATTCGGCTTTTCCTTGCAGGATTCCTACATGATAACGTATTTTAAAAAGCAAGCTTCGAGTTTGAAAGTGGGGTCTCCTGTGTACTTCGTTGTCAACAACCCAAAGTATCCCTATCATCTCCGCACGTGGCAAAACAAAATCTGCGGCGGGGCAGGATGTGACTCGGATTCTCTCATCCAAGTCGCTTACGATGCTTACAGATTATCAGAACAGTAAGTATTACCGTATGACCTATATGAGTTCATCTGGACTGTTTGCTCAAGATAATTTTCAATGCTAAAAGTGTCCGCGTGATCGAGCGGATGACGAATATCGGTTCAACGCGCACGCTGACCGATGGTCCAACGGCTCGCCATTATCTGCTGGTTTTATTTGATAAAAATGCGGTTCTAAAATGCGGTTCTGCAGACAAAATTTTATCTCGAGCACGCAGTCCAGTTGAAGTGATAATAATCTACGTACTCAGATCAGTGGGTAACGTTAACCGAAGTTCGAAATCCACTCGGTTTAAAAACGTTGACAGGAACAGAATTTTCTACCATCAACTAAGAACCAAAACTAAGAATATCATGTTCTTTTCTCAGCACTAAAATTGGCATGGCGTTGTCATCTTGGCTCGACGATTACTTCAGTTGGGCAGATCCTGCTGCAAAATGTTGTCGTATGTTGAACTACACCATGAATACAACATCTCATGAGAAGATACCACCTAAAGAAAAGGGCACATTTTGCAATGCTTCATGTAAGTTGAAGTAGGGTTAATTCCCATATTAACAATATATGTCAAGGTTAATCTCAAACCTCGTCCTAATCCAAGCCTTAATCCTAACATTAACCCTCTCCCTAACCGCAATCTTATTCCTAATCCAAACCCTAACCCTTTAAACCTAGTCCTAACCAAGCCTTAATCCTAACATTAACCTCAATCGTATTCCTAATCTTAATTCTAATCTGTCATTTGTCTCATGCAGTAACCGAGAGTCGTTATTAACCTCAATCGTATTCATAATCCAAACCCTAACCCTTTAAACCTAGTCCTAACCAAGCCTTAATCCTAACATTAACCTCAATCGTATTCCTAATCTTGATTCTAATCTGTCACGTGTCTCATACAGTGACAGAGAGTCGTTATCATTGTTACTTGTGCTTGCGAAAGAAACAACTTGGTCAACGTCCAGATGAGCTGCAGTTTTCGCAATTTCTGCCCTACTTTCTTAAAGATAATCCAGAGATCAACTGTACCAAAGGGTGAGCGTGAATTTAGATAAACTATTGCAGACTATTGTAGTAGCTACCTCGGCTTTAAATTGGCTGAAAGATGACAACCCAGTTTATCACTCCAGTTTGCGTAGAGTTCAGTATGCATAGGTCTAAAATTTTTCTCAGTGATAAAGTTGATGTTTTGGGGAGTAAATCTATTTTGGCATTCCTCAGAACTCTTTTTAAACCTTGCTAAGATGAGTTCATTCAGCCCAAAATGATATTTACGTTTTACAACTCTATTCATTGTTAAATGTGGCCATAATCACCCCCCCCCCCCCTTCGAAAGTAGTCGATATATCGAGTTTATATCGAGTTCATTTTTCTCTTTCCTATAGCGGCCACGCTGCCTATTCTGAAGAAGTAATTCTGCGGCCATCGGGTTTTACACCGTCTAACAGGAATAAGATGCATTATTCAATGCAAAGTCCAACCGAAAATGCGAAGTCCGACCGAAATATTAGCATTGTGAAAAGTGAGTTCAATATATGCACCATGATATCAGACTGCTGTTTTTCCTTTGAAAATAGAGAAAATGAAATTTTCGTTGCATGTCTATTTTAAACACGAATTTGAGTGATGTTTTAAATATTATGTTAGCTATAGCAGGACGATAACGAAACATGTTTTTTTACGATTTTTAGTCTCGCGTTTCATGGGTTACCACACGATTTTGAAGACTTCTGCTGACTTTATTGATGCTTTGAAAAATGCCCGAGAGTTGGCCGAGAAAATGTCCGCGAAGACGGAAAGTCACGTTTTCGCCTACAGGTTTGTAGCTACAGAGTTTGAGTTTTGGGTGATGTTAACGAAGGAATTGTGCTGATGTGATCCAGCATTTTCCGGTGACTTGAGTTCGACGCGCGTGTCCGTTAATCTGTCTGCTTTATTTTGTTTTAGTATATTTTATGTGTATTATGAGCAGTATCTCACGATAGTTCGAGACTCTTGGGTAAACCTTGTGGTTTGTTTAGGTAAGTGAGTGAGTGAAGTGATTTCCAGATGAACACTGTTTCCGCTTTCCTCAATGTCAGTTGATCATTACAGTCACTGCTAGTCTGACTGTGCGCTGACTGTTGCTACTAATACTAGCCTGACTAGTCTAGTACTTACTGCTTTCTCATGTTTTATTCAGTGTTTCTCTTTCAACCTTCCTCAATGCCAGTTGATCATTGCAGTACTTCTAGTTTGACTGTGTGTTGTTCACTGTTGCTACTAACACTAGCGTGACTAGTCTAGTATTTACTGCTTTGCAATGTTTTATTCAGTGTTTCTCTTTCAACCTTCCTCAATGTCAGTTGATCATTGCAGTAATGCTAGTCTGACTGAGTGCTGGCTGTTGCTTCAAATACTAACCTAACTAGTCTAGTACTTACTGCTTTGCAATGTTTTATTCAATGTCTTGACTTTGCAATTTGTATTTATTCAACAGCATCAATCTTCGCCATGACCTTCTTGCTGATGGGATTCCAAGTTATTATTGCGTTTCTTGTAACACTGACTGTCGCAATGATCATCACAGACATCATGGGTTTAATGTACTTGTGGAGTGTACCTCTTAATGCGATATCGCTTGTAAATCTTGTAATGGTAAGAACCTGTTGTGCGTCCCCGGCTGTTTCAAAGCTGATGCGTTGCGCTCGAGAATACAAAGGTAAATCTAATCCGATGTGCTTTTTTTATTCATTTAGGCCGTTGGCATATCTGTCGAGTTCTGCTCCCATATTGCAAGACACTTCACCATGACCGCCGGCAAGGACAAAATAGAAAGGGCCAGGCTGGCTCTAGCACATATGGGAAGCTCCGTAAGTTGGATTTCGGTGCCTCCAAATTGTTTTTCATGTAGTTGCTTGCATGGAAATGTGATTTGATGCTTTCTCTTCCAAAGACATCGAGGTTAAACTTGCAGATCCTTTCTCTAGGTTTTTAGTGGAATCACGTTAACGAAATTTGGCGGGATTCTTGTTTTGGCGTTTTCGGAATCGCAAATCTTCGAGGTAAGTTTCGACGGAAGTGAGGGCTAGTGGAGGGCGGGAGGTGCACCCCTTAAAGAAACTCACACCCCACTACAAAGTTACATCACCCCCACACGAATATATTGAACTATTTCATAGTTGAATGTTCACAACTTTTCTCTCATAATTCGTAGTGATCGTTCAGATGGAAACCCTTTCCTCCCTATGTCAGCCGAGCGTGACCTGCCCCTCCCTGCCAGTTAAGCCCCCCCCCGTGCCAGTAGAGGGTGCCCCATGCCAGTTGAGCCTGTCCACTGATGGCAATCTTAACGTGACAGGTTTATAAACTTATCTTATTTTCTTCTCCACCAGGTCTTCTATTTTCGCATGTATTTGGGTATTGTGTTGTTTGGGGCCAGCCACGGGTTGGTCTTTCTGCCCGTGTTGCTTAGCTACATTGGTCCAAAATGTCGTCAAGATGCCATTACGTCACAGGACGGCATCCAAGAACCCATCCCAGGCATCCAGTCCGAGTACGATCCCTTGATACAAGGTTCCAATTCAGACAGCTCAGCTGGTTCCATCAACGGTTTGGGCTATGGGGCGGCTCGTCATGTTGCGACGTAGAACAAATATAGCTTTATTTTTTATCTTCTTGTTTGACGCTTTGAAGATTTCCAAATGAGTTTATATGCAGAAGGTTTTATAGGTTACATGAAGTATTAATTAATTTCTGTTTAGGAAACTCTGGTTCAATCTGATGGCGCGACTTTACGCTTGCAACTTTTGGGGATTTTCTCCTTTTGGTCTATGCGAATGAGGGAAATGTTTGATTGCTCTGATGTACAGTCACCGCTTATTTTAGCTTTACTGACTTTCCCACTCGTTCACATGCGTCAAAAGAAGAAATTTCCTTAACATTTTGACTTTGCGATTTTTAAAGTTTTCTGATTTGAGAAATACGGGGCAATCAAGATACTGGTTTGATTTTCAAAAATTCATGCAATATTTTTTGTCTTATGGTGTCTTAATGTGTTATTACCTTTCTAAGCTGCATAGCAAAGTCATGAATTTGTCTTTAACGCAAGCACGACATATAGAAAATAACATTTTATTGCTAAAGAATATTATTATAGGATTACAGATGCCGGAGACGGCCTTATTCTTTCCAAAGTATGGTTTTTTATTTGGAAAGATTATTTATTTAGATACAGTAATAGGTTTTCCAGGATTGAAAGGAAATATGGTGAAATCTGATAAAAATAAAAGTACTCCTTCTAAAGTATAACTGTGCTTGTTTTTTATTAAAACACTTCAACTTGATCAACCAAAATCCAGACATGAAGAGTTAAGTAGTTATATAGCATGCTCTGTATCCAGTTTTGTATATAGATCAGCGGTCGTGGAAAGTTCCCATCCAGTCCTCTGCATCCAGTCACAGATTTGTCCTAGTAAAGGCCAAGTTACACGGTGCAATTTTTCTTGCAACTTGCAATTCAATTCTTCTTTTGAGAGATGTAAATTTGGCTACTACTGAATTTTTGCCTTTATTACACTCCATGGCGTTTCTTACACTTACATTTAGAGAACTCTTCACTAATTTACATCTCTCAAAAAGAAGAATTGCATTTCAAGTTGCAAGAAAAATTGCACCGTGTAACATGGCCTTAAGATCCATGGTCAATCATATAGTAGAGATGTCGGTTAGTAAATGTTTTGTGCGTTGCCAATTATTTCTCATATATCATTCTGATACCGTAGCTCTTATTGCCACCTAGGATTGGGTGTGACATCCTGTATCATCGGCTTGCCTAGTGTTGCCACGGCAACGGTGGCGACATCATTCCAGCAGTTGCATTCGCTTGCGTAATTTTTGGTCGGGTCGCAAGGATCCATCAAGATTGGTCGTCTAGGGGTGGAAATACCGTCATTAAATTAACGCCTAACTCGGGGTGTGTTCACAGGGTGAGTATGGGTATACCTAGATCTAACCACCACCCTCCCAAAGCTGAAACTAACTACTCCATTTCATCGATGGACGGACATAAACAACGGTACAAAGAGAATAAGTAAACTTAGAAAGATTGGATGCGCAATGCTGTAATGTGATTCCGCGCGCAAATACAAACATATGCGATATTTTATTTCCTACTTTTTATATCATTCTCCGTGCTTAGATCAACACTGCCTAGCGTTTGGAATCCTCTATTATAGATGTTGTGCAATGCAGCATGTTTTTTGCAACTCGATTGAGTTCAACGGGCGCAGGTAACCATCACCGACGGCAGTATCAAACTGGACACACGTCTGGACTACCTACAATCTTACCTCTGATTCACAAGCGCCCGCTGTATCTTGTCCTTCGAGTAATACACACTCCAGGTAATATACATGTTGCTGTAGTTCTGCATTGCCTCCATGATGGCGCGAAATCCAACCGATGGCTTGAAGGTCTCGGGACGGCCAGCGGTTTCCCATAATGATATCACCAGGAACTGAAGAGAGTACGCGCTCGGCAAGCGACATTTCTCATCGTCCACGGAGAATGCGCGTTGAAGCCAGAATTTCACCAGGCGAATGAGGTTTCGAACGCGCGTATTTTGTAAGGTTTTGATGTAGTTGATTTGAAGCACACACAAGCTGGTTGCGTAAAATCGACGATCGGAAGCGCTTTCAATCATTTTCTCATAAAGTTTCTCCCTTTTATCCGCTGCGGATATAAAGTGATTTGTAAGAGCAGAATTAAGTATATAAGCGGATATCCAGTATAAACGAAGCTAGTTTAGGTTTCTTCCTGTAGCACCACTGGATGAATAAGAAATTATACCTACTGGACCAACCTCTAGGAAGAACAGTTTAGAACTGATAGAGCTATCCAGTATAAATAAAGTTAGTTTAGTTTAGGTTTCCTCCTGTAGTAACACTGGATCAATAAGAGATGATCCTTACTGGACCTCTAGGAAGAACAGTTTAGAACTGATAGAGCTATCCAGTATAAATAAATTTAGTTTAGTTTAGGTTTCCTCCTGTAGTAACACTGGATCAATAAGAGATGATCCTTACTGGACCTCTCGGAAGAACAGTTTAGAACTGATAGAGTTATCCAGTATAAATAAAGTTAGTTTAGTTTAGGTTTCCCTCTGTAGTAACACTGGATCAATAAGCTATGATCTTTACTGGACCTCTAGGCAGAACAGTTTAAAACTAGAGCTATCCAGTATAAATAAAGTTAGTTTAGTTTAGGTTTCCTCCTGTAGTAACGAGTAACACTAGATCAATAAGATATGATCTTTACTGGACCTCTAGAAGAACAGTTTAAAACTAGAGGTATCCAGCGTAAATACAGTTGATTTATTTTATGCATGAGTCGACTTTGCAACAAGGGTGATTGCCGTGAGGGACAAATTCGTTCAGGCTAAACCTACCATCGTGAACATCCCATAAAAGCGAGGGTAAAATCTCAATTTCAACATCCACTGGGCAATCTGGCACAAGCAATGTACAACAAATCACAGCGTCCTGCACTTCATCTGTCTCAGCGTTCTTGCCGTAGGCTTTCACATGTTCTTCCAAACTCGCGATATTATTGGCCAGATTTTGTCTGAATGACGCGATCGCTTGTGTGACGTCATCGCTACCATAGTCGTACATGATGTGCAATGTCGCGTCCACGTCATCTTCGCTGTTGATTTCCGTTTGCGTACCCATTGATCCACCCTAGGAGGGAAGGTTTTGGTGCATTCACGTATCTTCATGTAATGGTTTGCTCATGCACAGTTGGATTAAGGTGGTAATGTGGTATAGTATGCCATAGTTACTGTGTTGTGGTATGGTGTGGTGAGTTACCAAGTTATGGTGTGTTATACTTTCTGTGTCATAGTATGGTATACAATGATCTGGTCACAGTTGGCTTGGAGTGGTATGGTATGATATAGTTACCATGTTGTGGAATGTGGTATGGTGTGGTATAGTTACTAAAGGTACCCTGTACAATGGTGTATTGATACTGATAATTATAGCGTAGAATGCATTGTATTGATCATATGTGTATTGATTTAGTGCTGTTCGTCATGTCGACCACGGTGTCAATTGAGCCGGTAAAACTTATTATATAGCATCAATCTAAATGATTTTGATGCTTTATTCAATGAAGAACTTTGCTTACGATAATGATGTCGTTAAACTCATTCTGCGTATCCAGTTTACTTTTGAGATGTTGAACAAAGCTTTTCAAAGCCGTTGTACAACTCTTGATAATGCTTTCGCTCAAACTCAATTCATTGGCCAACAGCACGTTAAGATCTGCCGCATTTTTGCTGGAAAGTAGACGTGTTAAACCTGCAAGTTAAGATGCAAGTAAAGAATTTGAAAAAGAAACACCCGGAATATTACAAGAACAAGTTAACAAAGATGAAATCGTCGATCTTTTTCTGGTTTATCGGCTGTCAGTCGGCGCATTAACATACACCCATTGAATCATTTTTACCCGAAAGTCGAGCTGCATGCTCTTTCAATTTCCAAAAGTGTGCTCGGCTGCTTTTAATTAATTAAAGATCTACAACAAGCTGAACTCATTGTAAAACTAAAATACCGGTGTTTAGTTCTCTGCGAGTTGTCCCCCGAGAGGCCGTATTTGCCAAGTTTGTTGTTTTAGGCATCGCGAGTATTAACTCTTTAATTCGTAGAAAAACACATCATTCATACAAACGATGTCAAAACATATAACTTATGAAATTTGACGGACATTCAATTTAATACGATTTCAATTTTCAAATGCTGCAGCGGTTCGTCCCTGCGACGCGCGTTCAAACTTCATCCCTAATTCGGCCTATATACCGGCGTCGGCAGATGTGAAACTATAGCTCCGTGAAACTATAGTCAATCTTTACCAACAATGCATGAGGCTGTAGACGATTCCCTGTCAGGGTAACCGCTCAAAACGTTTCAGATAGTTTCAAAGGGGAATAAACCGCGGCTGTTGATTGTAAAATACTACCTCTACACTACAGCCAGACGTCTTCAAAATAAAACAGTTATATTGAACCTACTTGGTCGGCGAGTTCCCATAATCTTATAATCACCAGATAATGCCTCTTTCCTAAATTCAATTAAAGCTCGAATTCACGCACACAGAACCGGCTAAGGACATCCAATATTCAGGTTACCTACAAAGCTCACAGATTAATTGTAGCTAAAAAGATCGGTTTCACACAATAGACATTTGCATTTTTTCTGTCACCCATGCAGCGTGACTTTCTTTATTAGCAAGGCTGTCCGTCTTTATCGACGCTTCAGCTGTTATTGAAATGTCGCAGATTTGCAAACCATCTGGAGATCAGGACAGGAATTAGAACTATTTATGTCGTGATGGATTGTTGAGACTAATTTTGTCCGACTTAAATGATCGGAGTTGGTCGCAGTTGCTAACATTTGGTTTCAAGCAAAACATTTTCACAGGGAACAGGTCATGAGGTCACGCCATGCACCAGTAGAATTGAAACTTAGCTCAAAGCTTGGCTCCAAACCACAGCTAATAAAATACAAGATTTGTAAGCCAAGATGACAGTAAGGTAAAGGTAATTTAGGCATGTTGGTTCATAACATGGTTTGTTCACCTTTGAGGGGGAAAAATTGTGTTCCAACGCGTCACGTGGACATCGAGTTTTGCGGATATCAACTAATCATAATAATGTTTGACTGGCCTCTTTGTCTAGTCTCGCATTTAAAAAGCTTTAAACTATTCCTGCTGGTTTGACGCGCAAAAGATGTAGCAACACGTGCCGAGATGTGAGACATTTCTGCATAAAAATATAACTAGTTACTGTCAGCTCCTTCTAATATATCGTGTTTTGAACCTTCATAAGCCAGAATTAAATCTATTGCCCAGTCAAGCGCTAGAAAGGTTTGCATAAGGTAGTATCATGCACGCTGTCACTTTTTGAATTGTAAACCACCCGCCCTTCTTCACGCCATCCTATCTCTGCCCAATCTTATTCGCCATTCCCTCCTTTGCGCATGTCCGCGCCGAAGTCCGCGCCGAAGTTCACCCGAGAAGTTGAATGAACGCCACAAATCCGAGTTGACACTTGGGACTTAACTTGCTCCTTAATAGGTCATTAAAAACGCCTTCAGTTCAGCACGATTCATAATTTTAAAACCAAATTCCTAAACATCCCCTATTTCATACATAACATATCATAATCGCACAACCTCTGGTTCAACTCGGTCTGCTTCGTAAAGCTCATAGTTTACAAAGCAATTTCTCGTGGTCAACAGACATATTTTAATCCATTCGTGAGGTATTGTGGCATGCGTTTCTTTCTATTGGTCTACTGTAGAAATAATGTTAGAAAATTAAGAACATGTTGACATATTTTAGCCGGAGTCGTACACGCGAGAAATGTGAGGTATTCAACGGTTTCAAATGACTGCGTGAATTCTATGTGTACTCGTAACTCCATACTAGGACTCTTTCTTCGTACATAGATATTTATCGAGGTCTGGAAGAGAAATTAGCATTCACCATGTCAGCGCCAAGTAAGTAAATCATTTGCTAGAGATCTTTCAAGTTGAGACCTTGCATGTGCTTTGAGGTGAACGCTTCGAATTGGCCAACCAGCCATTTTGTAACGCAGCGCTGTGCATGGCGAAGTGGAAGACGGCTGGTGCGAGTTTACTTCAAAACTGTGGCTGTATGTTGAGGAAGTAATGTGTGTAATGCGATAAACCAAACACAACGCTATAAAGGTCGACTTTATATAACATAGTCGTTTCTGCAATCTACTGCAATCATTAAATTAAGAGCTATTAAACACATCCAGTCGTCCACATGGTTTAATTCAGTGCTATCATCAATAACAGCCGCGCTTAGTCTAAGACAAGCGAGCATTTTCCATGCAGAATAGTTTAATATCGTGAGACACTGTCTGTTATCGGAAATTGTCGCCAAATTGACAAGAACACACCTCCATTTTGTAGCCTAATTTCGGCCGATTTGTGTCTTTGTTAACTGATAGTAATAAGCTTCTTTCGAAATACCCGGAATCGTGCATAAATACGTTTAGGATTTACACTGATTTTGAAAACAAACAGCGCGCGTGTGTAGCCTTGGTATCACTTTTCGCTTTTGATTCTGTAACGGTTTAGTCAAAACATTGCCTGACTTGTGCTTATCCCAGCGCAACGGGAGGGAAGCTTAGCTATAAATATGCCAGTTTTTTAATCTACGGCGTTAACTCTGTTTATAAGTTTTTCTCGCACAGGGAGTCGGCGCGCTTTTTATAAACTATACTTGCGTGTTGCGCGTGAAGATGGCTGTCAATTAGAACAAAATGCGTTCTCGCCCGAATCTGTCATCGTTTGCGGACATTATTTGTACAATACGAAGGTATTTTGATTACATAACACCAGATGATTCGTTCATAGCGAAGTCCTATGCTAGACCGACTTCAAATGTAATCGATATTGCAAAGTTCATGAGCGCGCATTCCGAAAGGATTTGGCTAGCTTACCCTGGCTAAGCTTAAATATAGTTAGAAATATCGATTAATATATGTCTGGTCTCTACGCAAACCCTCACCAAACAAAAAGCACAGTGTAAGTTCCCGAGCTCATGGTGCTGAATCTGGCTTTGAGACTTAATGCTATCCTCGAGAAGGAAAAGTATAAATTTTCCCGTCAAATACGATGTATTTTTCTATGGCTGAAGTCAAAAGATCAAGTACCCGTACGTTGTGTTAGCAACTGAGTCACCCTTTTGAAATAATTGCGATTGCAAGGCATGTCAATCGGTGCAATGACTCGAGTAACTTGTGCTTAACCTGGATTTGCAATAATTTCAATCAAACCTTAAACGCCTTTACGTTTAACATTGGATATGCGATGAATTTTCAGTGTGAAAAGTTGCCCCGATTTACATATATTTATGTATGATTTACATTAGAGAGCTTTAGCTTTCTTAATCTACCTTGGAAAACTCGTTTAAGGTTTGACTAAACTTCTTCAAAATGAAGACCCTCCAAACGTGACATTGGCGAAAGCAGCCGAACTCAGTCCGATCTTTCTCAAGAACTGTAACCACGTCATCGATCAAATCTGTGAACACATCGAAGAGAACTTTCCCGCAAGCGTAGGAAAAATTAAAAATTTCATCCAGGTAAGAAGATTGTAATCTGGGGCCCGTTGTATCAAGCCCGCTTAGCTTAAACGGGGGATAAGTCAAAATTAAATAACACTCTTACAACTCTCTTGAATGAGTCAACTTGAATATTATGCACTGAAGATGTAGTTGTATGTTAGTTCGCTTGTAGAACTCATCCACCGTTTAACTAAACGGGCGTGATAAAACCTAAAAAATAGATCTTTGTGGTCCTTTAGGGCGGCTCCCTAGGCAACGGCACAGCCGTGTACGGTCGAGATGACGTGGACTCTGTAGTCGTCGTGTGTTTTGATTACGACACTACTGATGTCAAAGAATTGCTGAAGAAACACAAGGCCAAGAGTCGTAAAATCATGGATACAATCGAAGAACGTTTGGTGAACATGGTCTCCTTCGACTTAGAAGTTGACGAGGTTACCGACAGCGGCATTGCGTGTACCGTTACCATTCCCAGCGGACCTCTGGATCTCAGTGTCTACGTCATGGCCACGTTTTATGTTGACGTCAAAAAATGTAAGCAAGAAAATGTCATGTTTTGCAAAGTGTAGAGCCGAACTCTGCATTCAAGTATATCGTTATTTACATCTGCCTGACACAGGAAATGACGTTTCACCGCTATATTTTCAACGAAATACCCTATTTTAGTTTGAAATCTGATTGGTTTGACAACTTTGGCCGCTTAAAAGAAACTAGGAGAAAGCGCACCTTAAAATTCCATAATATTTCACTTTCAGCCGCGATTCGAAACGAGGTTTACGATCAACTCGGAAAGGCGTCGTCAGAAGAGGTCGAAATGCTTGGCTCTGCTCTGTCTCAATTACAAGTCGATTTCGTCAAAGATATGGACCAACAGCTCAAATGCTTGATGAAACTGGTCAAATTTTGGGTGCAAAAAGGTTTTGTGGAGAAGGAAAATCAGAATCTTCCTTCGCCATACTTGCTGGAGCTCGTCACCATCTTTTGTTGGCAGCACGCGAGCAGCCCCGAAACGTTCAAGTTCGCGAGCGCGTTTCGCGCTATTCTGCTCACGCTGCGTGATCACAAGTCGTTGAAGGCAGTCTGGGACATCAACTATAGATGGGACAGAGCACAGGATGTCGTGCACTTGGAGAGGTTAGTTTTGGCGAGGTTCATGCAAATTTGATGCATGAAACCTCTACCTTGAGTTGGCCTATTGTGCTCGAGAAATCATGATTTTATAGTCGGTATAAGCAAGCGTCTATATCGCTGATTTTAAACTGTTATTTTTGTCCCCCGGGCGACAATTTTGCTAAATTTTTCATCTTTCCCCAGGCCTCCGATCGTGGTGGATCCTGCAAACCCGACCGTGAACCTGTGCCGCGATTGCAACGCCTGGGACGAGGTCGCTCGCGGTGCCGACCAAACCCTTAAAACGCCTCTCCTTAGAAGTCTTTCATCGCCCAAGAGTGTTTGGAGTTAAAACAATGGACAACCGGGAAATTCTCTTCGACTACGATATGCTATTAGATTTGTGTCGACTCTTTTGTCTAAAGCATTAGATGGCTTAAAGAATTGCTTTCAAAAACTAGCTTGGACAGCCCTTTTCTTTGGACAATAAATAGCCTTGTAATATCTTCTATTTTATGTAGTATTCATTTTTAAAATGTGTTTTAGCGTTTTCACAAAATAGAGCTATTAATTGAAAGTTGATTTATAGAGCGAAGTTTTGAAATCAGGTGCGAGGAAGAACGAACAGTGCATCCATATTTCTCAAGTTGAGATATAATTGGCGCCATATGCATTAGTTCACCAACCACAACCAAACCAGTAAATGATTAATATTTGTATATAAGCACAGGGCCGGGAGAGGGCATTTTGCGCCGGGCCCCAAACATATAGAGGGCAAGGGGCCCCCGACTTAAGAAAGAACCTAAAATTAAAGCACCTTAAAAAGCCATTTTCCTGCGAATATGACCATGGTCGTAATTGCAATTTTCCGGTGAATACGAACATGGTCGTATTTGCCATTTTCCGGCGAATATGACCATGGTCGTATTTGCCATTTTCTGGCGAATATGACCATAGTCGCATTTGCCATTTTCCGGCGAATATGACCATGGTCGTATTTGCCATTTTCCGGCGAATATGACCATGGTCGTATTTGCCATTTTACGGCGAATATGACCATGGTCGTATTTCCTATTTTCCGGCGAATATGACCGTGGTCATATTTGCCATTTTCAGGCGAATATGACCATGGTCGTATTTGCCTTTTCCCGGCGAATATGACCATGGTTGTATTTGCCATTTTCCGGAAAATATGACCATGGTCGTATTTCCCATTTTCCGGAAAATATGACCATGGTCGTATTTCCCATTTTCCCGCGAATATGACCATGGCCGTATTTGCCATTTTCCCGCGAATATGACCATGGTCGTATTTGCCATTTTCCTGCGAATATGACCATGGTCGTATTTGCCATTTTCCTGCGAATATGACCATGGTCGTATTTGCCATTTTCCTGCGAATATGACCATGGTCGTATTTCCCATTTTCCTGCGAATATGACCATGGTCGTATTTGCCATTTTCCCGCGAATACGACCAAGGTCGTATTTGCCATTTTCCAGGGAATATTACCATGTTCGTATTTGCCATTTTCCGGCGAATATGATCATTTGTCGTATTTGCCATTTTCCGACGAATATGACCATGGTCGTATTTGCTATTTTCCGGCGAATACGACCACGGTCGAATTAGTCGTTTTCCGGCGAACTAGACCATGGTCGAATTAGTCGTTTTCCGGCGAACTTGACCATGGTCGAATTAGTCGTTTTCCGGCGAACTTGACCATGGTCGAATTAGTCGTTTTCCGGCGAACTCGACCATGGTCGAATTAGTCGTTTTCCGGCGAACTCGACCATGTTAGTCGTTTTCCGGCGAACTCGACCATGGTCGAGTTAGTCGTTTTCCGGCGAACTCGACCATGGTCGAATTAGTCGTTTTCCGGCGAACTCGACCATGGTCGAGTTAGTCGCTTTCCGGCGAACTCGACCATGGTCGAATTAGTCGTTTTCCGGCGAACTCGACCATGGTCGAGTTAGTCGTTTTCCGGCGAACTCGACCATGGTCGAGTTAGTCGCTTTCCGGCGAACTCGACCATGGTCGAGTTAGTCGTTTTCCAGCGAACTCGACCATGGTCGAGTTAGTCGTTTTCCGGCGAACTCGACCATGGTCGAGTTAGTCGTTTTCCGGCGAACTCGACCATGGTCGAGTTAGTCGTTTTCCGGCGAACTCGACCATGGTCGAGTTAGTCGTTTTCAGGCGAACTCGACCATGATCGAGTTAGTCGTTTTCCGGCGAACTCGACCATGGTCGAGTTAGTCGTTTTCCGGCGAACTCGACCATGGTCGAGTTAGTCGTTTTCAGGCGAACTCGACCATGGTCGAGTTAGTCGTTTTCCAGCGAACTCGACCATGGTCGAGTTAGTCGTTTTCTGGCGAACTCGACCATGGTCGAGTTAGTCGTTTTCCGGCGAACTCGACCATGGTCGTTTTGCCATTTTCCGGCGAACTCGACCATGGTCGAATACGCCATTTCCGGCGGACTCGACCATGGTCAATACGCCGTTTTTGGGTAGACTCGACCATGGTCGAATATGCCATTTTCCGGCGGACTTGACCATGGTCGAATACCACTTTTGCCCCGGGCCCCACAATTTCTCTTGGCGGCCCAGTGTGAGCACGAAACATGTTTGCAATATTGCATAGGAGGAGCATTTTGCCATTAAAGCAGCGTGGTTATCTGTTTCAAAATATTTGACATCATAACCAAAGCATGGCTATTGGTTATATTGTGCCGCCAGGAATGCCAGAAATCTGCCATCTTCAGTTGCTTATACTTTTGTGCGAGTCCGCCGTGAAAAAGTCCTCCAGGAATTCTAATATAGTTCAGTGGAATTCAGAACGTGCATCTGATCTCCATTTAATGTTTTCAATCTGGATGTTGATGTTTCTGATCGAAGTGGAAGTTCAGCCATGTGGTGATTGATTATTCTGGAATTTGTAAACTGTGGAACAACCTTTTGTTGCAATTATTTCTTCTTGCATCGCATCACAGATCATTTGCATTGGTTGGCAAATTCTATCAGCTTGTTAAACGATTTTTTAAAATAGATTGTTTTAATCATAAAGTATTGGAAGTATGGGGCTTGTGAGGCAAATGTTGGTGGTCGCTTTTTGTGCATGGCTTTTATTGCGTGTGATTGTGCTCAATAGAGGCTTGTAAGTTTAAAGATTATTTAATGATTATGTATTATTAAGACAATGGTCTTCATTCACGTACATCGTATACTTCCAATTTATGTTTTTAAATTAAGTATTTAGTCAATCTTCTTTCTGACAGTCGTATTGCAGGATTTGGTATACCAGTTTTCAACCACAATCCAGGATCTTGCAAGATATTTCATGGTATTTATTTGTCTATTTTATGTGTATTAATTGTTTGCATTTACATATTGGAGTATGCATGATTATAGATTGCATATTCCATCCACTAGTTTAAATGACATAAATGATCGTTCAACCTAGATAGCTTGCAATATTATCGCTCACAATTAATCAACTCACAGGCTGATTTTACATTCAACTGATGCAAGTAATTTGCTTTGCAGTTAATGGTTCAGAAGATATTGATGTGCTACCAAATGGGCTTGCTGTGATTTCATCGGTACGTTGTATGGCATTTCCTAAGGGATAATGTTATTTGAATGACTGCATTGGAACAAAGAAGTTATAATACCAATACTTTTACATTTTCAGGGCTTGATATTTCGTCTTGGCATTCGTCAAGTTGACCCAACAATGGAGCATTATAAAGGAATGCTTTATGTATTTGACCTCAATAATCCTGAAGCAAAACTGACACCATTATCATATGAAAATTTCAATGACTCTGCATTCCAGCCTCATGGAATTGACTTCTACATTGATAAAAAAACTGAAGAAATTAGCCTTTTTGTTGTGAACCATGCTGAAGGAAAACATAGCATTGAGATTTTTCAATTTGATCAGGAAAACATGGTGCTTCGTCATAAAAAAACAGTTGTTGATGAAGAAATCTATACACCCAATGATGTTGTAGCTGTGGGTATGTGTATCTACCATTTGAATCCATAGTGTTATCATATATGATGAAATATCATTGCACATTTTTGTATCTCTTAGGGCCAGACAAATTTTATATCACAAATGATCATTATTTTGTGAAAAGTAAATTGCTGAGGTTGGTTGAAGTATTTTATCCTCTGAAGATAGGAACTGTTGCATTTTACAATGGCACTAGTACGAAAATTGTTGCAGGCAAATTTCAGTTTGCAAACGGAATAAACATTGATGAAAGTGGAAGGTTTGTAAATATATATTATATAACTTTTTCATACAAATTAGTTTACAAGGATTTGGCAGATGCAACTACTTTTTGCATTGCATTGCTCAACCTGATTGAATTCAAAGCATCTTAATGAATGGTAATACTGATTAAGTCTACAAAGCAATTTTTGGAGAGTCTTGAAATTTGAAAATACATTTACATTGCTACTAAAGGTTTCTACATATTACTCATATATAATTGTGAATTGTTTAGATATGTTTTTGTTGCAAATGGTCTTGCAGGTGAAGTAGTTGTTTTTGAACGTGATAACGATGACAATTTAATTGAGCGTCAGGTACATAAACATCAATTTGATTTGATCTACGGTACTTATAGCAATCACCAGTTTCCGCAGTGTTTTAACACCTAAGTATTTTATCCCCTAGCAAATCAATGTGGGTGTTGGATTAGACAATGTAAATGTTGACAAAAATGGTGATCTCTGGCTTGGGGTAGTGAATTTTGGGTACTTTGATTATGCTGCAAACTTCAGCAATCCGTGTCCAGGTGCTGTGCTGCAGGTGAAACTTAGCAAGCAGGAGAATGACAGAGTTCCTTTCAAAGTCGATGACATACGTGAAGTGCTTTCAAATAGCGGGGATGGAGAATTCAAATGTGTTTCAGTTGCATCATTTTACAATGGGAAACTGCTAGTTGGTAATCCCTTTAGTAATCTCATGCATTGCGAAGTTGTTTCATTTTAGCCCTCAAATTTCAATTATTTTCTAAATCCAATTCATCTTACATCTATAGTAATAAAGCAACGATTATTAGTAAATGCTTATTAATTTGATATTTCCCAGTTCCCTCGAAACAGGGCTAGAGTGGGAGAACCGATAGATTGGCGTGACGTCACGCAGTGGATGCGAGTCAGGCAGCATCTGACCCCTAAAGCCGAAGGCTTAGTATATATGACATTGCTCTATGTGGTGATCCATTGTGAGATTATTAATCGTTTCCTGCGATTACGCGTGGTCTCTTTATACTAAATTTAACTTTTTTCGTTTTCCAATAACGTTCAAGCATGTTTTATAACCGTAAAGTGTCTTTCTTCAAACATTGCATTTACTATAAAGCTAAAAAAGGTTGATTTAGTTAAGAAATGGAGTGAATAAAGAACATTTAAAATTTTAATGATTTAATGCAATAGTGAACATAGTGCACGAATAACCACGTGCACACATCATAAACGTAGATAATTAAAGATAGTACACGCACATGCACGATGCATGTCTGCAAATTTCTAATTAGCATAAAAAAAGAAAGTTTTTCTGCTTTTTCAAGGATTAGCTACTAGAGCATCAGCGCTTGGTGTTAAAGGCTATATTTATTTATTTTCACCTAAATCCCTTTTCAAAGTCGCAATGAAAATATATTAGTGTGGTCCCATAAATTCGAATCAACGACCTAAAAGTTACGAGACCATTTTCTTTACCACTAGACTAAGACTGATAAGACAAGCAATTTAAAGCAGTGTGGTTATCCACATCAAAATATTTGACATCGGTAAAAGCATGGTTATATTGTTAAATGTTTGTATATGAGCACGAAACATGCTTGCAACTTTACATAGGACCAGAATTAGACCATTTAACCGGCGTGGTTATCCATATCGAAATATTTGACACCATAACCAAGGCGTGGTTATATTGTTTGATGTTTGTATATGAGCACCAACTTACATGGTGGAAACCTTACATAGGGGGAGCATTTAATCAGCGTTATCCATATCAAAATATTTGACCACAACTGTGATTTGACATCATGACCAAAGCATGGTTACAACTTACAACCTCGCGAGCCAGGCTCTTTTGCCGTGGAGCGTAGGTAAAAGAGCCTGGCTTGCGAGGTTGAGCATGGTTATTGGTTATATTGTGCGGTCAGCAAAGCAAGAAATCCGCCATCTACAGTGGCTTCCTCTTTTAGCCGAGAGCGGAGAGCAAGTCCTCCAAGAATTATAGCTCAGTGGAATTCAGAAGGGGAAGTTCTGCCATGGCGTGATTGATTATTCTGGAATTTGCTTATTGTTGCAAACTGTGGAACCACCTACTAACATGTTCGCCGGCTTCAGACTGCAGTTCACGATTGTTGCAACTATTTCTCGCATCGCATCACAGATCATTTGCATCGGTTGGCAAATTCCATCAGCTTTTAAAACGATTTTTTAAATCATAAAGTATTGGAAGTATGGGGCTTGTGAGGCAAGTGTTGGTGGTCGCTTTTTGTGCCTGGCTTTTACATCGTGTGATTGTGCTCAATAGATTCTTGTAAGTTTAAAGATGATTATGTATTATTAAGACACTCGTCTTCATTTACGATTTTACGTACATGCATACTGCCAATTTATGTTTTTAAATTTCTAAACGTTTCCATTTGAAGTATTTTGTCAATCTTCTTTCTGACAGTCGTATGGCAGGATTTGGTATAGCAGTTTTCAACCACAATCCAGGATCTTGCAAGATATTTCATGGTATTTTTATGTCTATGTCTTGTGCATTAATTGTTTGCATTTACATATTGCAGAATACATGATATTACAGATTGCATTTTCCATCAACTAGTGATCATTTAACCTATATAGCTTGCAATATTATCACAACTCGAATGCAAGTAATTTGTTTTGCAGTTAATGGTTCAGAAGATATTGATGTGCTACCAAATGGGCTTGCTGTGATTTCATCGGTACGCTGTATGGCATTTCCTAAGGGATAATGTCATTTGATTGACCGCATTGGAACAAAGAAGTTATAATACCAATACTTTTACATTTTCAGGGGTTGATATTTCATTTTGGCTTTCGTCAAGTTGACCCAACAATGGAGCATTATAAAGGAATGCTTTATGCATTTGACCTCAATAATCCTGAGGGAAAACTGACACCATTATCATATGAAAATTTTGATGATTCTGTATTCACACCACATGGAATTGATTTGTACATTGATCCAAAAACTCAAGAAATTAGCCTTTTTGTTGTGAACCATGCTGAAGGAAAACATAGCATTGAGATTTTTCAATTTGATCAGGAAAACATGGTGCTCCATCATAAAAAGACAGTTGTTGATGAAGAGATCTATAACCCCAATGATGTTGTAGCTGTGGGTATGTGTATCTACCATTTGAATCAATAATATTACCATATATGATGAAATATGATTTCACATTTTTGTATCTATTAGGGCCAGACAAATTTTATATCACAAATGATCATTACTTTGTGAAAAGTAAACTGCTGAGATTGATTGAAGTATTTTATCCTATGAAGTTAGGAACTGTTGCATTTTACAATGGCACTAGTGCGAAAATTGTTTCAGGCGAATTTCAGTTTGCAAACGGAATAAACATCGATGAAAGTGGAAGGTTTGTAAATATATTATATAACTTTTTAATACAAATGGTTTACAAAGATTTGGCAGATGCAACTATTTTTTGCATTGCATCAGATTGCAAAATTTGCATTGGTCAACCTGATCATAGAATTCATTATTTTCTCTGCAAAGAATGCTTAATGAATGGTAATTACTGATTAAGTAGAGTACTGATTTTTTGAGTCTTTTGAAAATACATTTACATTGCTACTAAAGGTTTCTACATATTACTCATATGTAATTGTGAATTAATTGTTTAGATATGTTTTTGTTGTAAATGGTATTCCGGGTGAAGTAGTTGTTTTTGAACGTGATAATGATGACAATTTAATTGAGCGCCAGGTACATAAACATCAATTTATTTGATTTGACCCACGGTACTAATAGCATTCACTAGTTTAAAATTTTCTGCAGTGTTTTGATATCTAAATCTTTTATCCTCCAGCGAATTAATGTGGGTGTTGGATTAGACAATGTAAATGTTGACAAAAATGGCGATCTCTGGCTTGCAGTAGCGAATATGGCATTCCTTGATTATATTGCAAACTTCAGCAATCCGTGTCCAGGTGCTGTGCTGCAGGTGAAGCTTAGCAAGCAGGAGGATGACAGAGTTCCTTTCAAAGTCGATGACATACGTGAAGTGTTTTCAAATAGCGGGGATGGAGAATTCAAATGTGTTTCAGTTGCGTCATTTTATAATGGGAAACTGCTAGTTGGTAATCCCTTTAGTAATCTCATGCATTGCGAAGTACTCGTTGTTTAGTTCACAACATCAATTTAATTCTACATCAAGTAAATACAATTGATTTAAACTAAATAAATAAACAGTTTGCTCTTTATAATAACCTAAATTATCTTGTCTAAAGGCCTTTTAAGTTAGTTCACATGCTTAAAATCTTGTGTATCACTTGTGATGCTAATACTAGTTGAATCTGCCCTATTCTTTTTTTAAAAACATATGAACAATATTCTTTTTTTAACATTTCCTGGCTTATCTAGTTACAGTTGTAAATTGGTATGTTGAGAAATGAACCAATCTGTCTATCTACAGGAGTAAATAGCTCATAGGCCAATACAATTTCACATCATACAAGACCCTCCCTGTTTGGAATGTTTGAAGGGACAGTTGTGATATTTTTAACTTGGTCATTATGAATTCTATATTTAGGAAAAATGATTCGGAAAAATGGATTACCATTTGAAAACTATCAATCTTTTTGTAAAATGTTATGAATTTTGAAACCATACCCTAGTTTAGAAAACAACTGTAATGAAACTAATTTTGATTCAGCAAGAGAGGTGGTGAGTATGACATGAAACTGTAGTGCATTACCTAGAGGGATGAAATGTTCATTTATACCAAAGGTAGATCGCTGTCATCTTGCAGTTCTCGTATATCTTGTTCTGCATCATCATACACATAGATTGGCACAATATTATATCGACTACTGTAGTTTCTTGTGCAAGGTCGACATAGACACTTAAGGCATTTCATTCGAGTCTCTTTTTTATGAAATACTATAAGGCATACAGATAATATGACCAATCCTAGCACAATTCCAATAATCAACCCAACTTTATGAGCCAAGGGTTGACTTGATTTTGTTGTTTTGGGTGATTTTCCAGTAGGGGAGGGAGAGAGCAAGCTGGTATTAGGTTGGGTTGTTGAGGGTGATATAGGGTGATGGGTTGATTTTAATATAGAGTTTTCTGTTGACGTTGACCAAGTTGAAGTGATAGAAGCACTTGTCTTTGCTACTGATATGTTTTCTGTTGCCACTTTTGGAATAACAATGACAGTCTTAACATTGTGGTCTGTAGTGGTAGTACTTGCTTTTGGGGTTAAATATTTTGTTCTAGTTAACATTGCATTCTCAGTTTTCATACTAAAACCAATTTGAGTTTGGTTAACTCCATATGGTGTGTAGGTTTCCATTGTAGCTATGGTATTTGTTACACCATTCCAGCTTGATGGTACTATAGGGGTGGGTGTTGGTAGCATGAGAATGGCAAACTGAGTAACATTTTGTGCCCAGACACCAACTTGGAGGTGGTGGAACAGAATGGTTAAATGTAGTAAAATGATCTCTCTATCTTTGATTTGCATTTTTGTACCTAAAATCCTGTGGTAAAGTATAAATACAGCAGATTACTTATTGTATATCTCAAATGTCCCAGATTATTTGTACAGTTGATGGATTTCTACTCAACTATAATCAATTATTGAAGAGATGTACTTTACTTTTGCTTTCTCCGGCAGTGGTAGACTACGACAGATCACAGCTGTCTTCTACACCATAAACAATACTAACACGCATTGTCGCATACATAGCATTTTTTTTATGAATATTCTTTCCAAATCAGGGCATTTTTGTTATTGACTTTCCTGGGCTGAGATGAAAACTGTTTATTGTGGGCAGATGGCGTAACGAAAAAATATAAACATATCCGGAAAATTTATTTTAAAAATTTGACTCACAAGCTCGTTAAATAATATCAATATTAGTCGTAAAATACTACCAAAAATAAGATTCTACTTTACTTACTTTAAAATCTACACTTTATTTCGTTTATTTACACGATTTCCTTGAAAGTTGCTTACTTTTCCTTTTAACTCATCACATTGGTTTTCTTTCCCCCGGAAAATGTGAAGTGGGCTTAGTTTTTTCAAACGTGGCCTTACCACAAATTTCATTTTTGCCGGGGGAGAAAAAGATAAATTAGATAAATTCTAAAGAAAATACGTAATCATAGGCAATGGATCCCCCGGAATTAGTGGTTAATTCTATTTTTTTCAGGGGGGTTATAATGTCTTACAATATGAACTATTAAGATGGCGTAGGAAATAAAAGTAGATAATTTGAGTGTTTTGGTGAAAGAAACGAGGAAATGTTTTCGTTGTAAGTGATGGTATATAAGGGCGTTGTTTTTTAAAGCATGTAGTCATAATTTTGGGCCGATTTTCCATGGCAGAAGTTAAATTTCGAAAGTGAAACTGCGGCGTTGCGTATAAAAAAACTAGTTAAACTACCAGCTGGAGGAACTGGAGGTGTTGAAAATGGTGGAAATGTACGCTTGGGGGCGAGCAGATTCTGGTCAGCTTGCTTTGGGAGAGACGGAGGACGAGCATGTTCATTTGCCGTTGCGTGTACCGTATTACGAGGGGTTTACATCCAAAGTAGTTGACGTTGCATGTGGGTCTCAGCATACGGTATTCCTGACAGACGATGGTATGGTATACACCTGTGGTAGCAATGATTCTGGACAACTTGGTCATGGTAAAGTCTGCAGGAAACCAGGTAATCAAGCTAGGGCGACAACACTTGGATATTACATGCTATATACTATATAACACTATCATCTAGTCAGGTACCTATAGCAACTTCCGAAAAAAGAAAAACGTGGACCTCTTTCTAAAATAGACCTCTTGATGAAGGTCCTTAGGTTGGAACGTTTTTTTTATGCTGCAACGTTGCACCCTGATTATTTTGGAACATACCTACTCAATTGATACAACATCACTTTGTGATTATATGCTGAGTCAACACTTTCCTTTTCCAATAGAAAGGATCGATTCTATTGAGACAATGACCATAAAACAAGTGGCTTGTGGTCAGGACTTTACGCTGGCGTTGAGTGACAAAGGCAAGGTTCTCAGTTGGGGAAATAACAGGAAAGGACAACTAGGACATACTCATCGTGACATCATACATCGACCAAGGTACCAAAAATATTATTATAAGAGAGCCTTACTGTAGCACTGAACTTGTATTGACATGGTACTTATCCATGATTTTTAAATTTAAAGGACAATCAAGCATTTTAGTGAAATTCGTGTGACGCAGGTTTGCTGTGGAACACACCATTCCTTGGCCTTGGTTGAAGGTATGTCACGAGCAGTTTTCTTACATTTCAAAATTATTCATGTTCTTTTTGTCTTAAAAGCTCTGTATATATATTTCACTTTAGATGGCAGACTATTCAGCTGGGGTGATAATTCCCATGGTCAACTTGGTACAGGTCAAATGACCCCATCATCATCCCCAATTATCCCTTGTTTGGTGGACGCGCTCACTGGCGTACCATTGGTTGAGATATCTGCTGGCGGATATCACAGCATGACTCTTAGCATATCTGGAGCTGTTATTGGCTGGGGAAAAAACGAGTTAGAATCAAATTTATACTTACGTTTGTATACTTTATGTTACAAAAGTTGAAGTTTGTTGAAGTTTGAAACAATTTTTTTTTAATTGCAGTTCTGGCCAACTTGGACTGGATAATGGAACAGGTATTGCTTATAAACATTGATAAGAGATAACTCATAACTTTATAAGTTTTTTCAACTTGTTTTTCTATAGCATCATCAATTTTAAGCCGTTATTAAACAATTAATTCACTCTAGATCAATGGCTTCCAGTGCAAATAGAGTTGGTCAGATCTCAGAGAGTGAAACATATTGCTTGTGGTGAGGATCACACAGCACTTCTTACTGAGGTACAATTATTATAAAATCTGCTGTGAATTTATGAATGAAATGTGTATGATGTGCTTATAAGAGTTCGTGTCCATCAGGACGGAGGTGTTTTCACATTTGGTTCTGGAACGAATGGCCAGCTCGGACATAACTCAAATTCACATCAAAATCAGCCGAAGAAGGTAAAAAAATCAGCTATTAGTAAAAAGGGAATATTGTACAACTAATGTACCGGACAATTGTAATTAAAAAATAAATGAACATTATATCTAAACATAGTTCCCATCCTAAATGCTAACTTCAACCTGTAATCCTGTACTTGTAATCCAATCTCCAATCCTGGATTTAATTTTTTCTCTAATCCTTCTAACCCCAACTCTAATTACAGTAATCCTAGGTCTTATCTTAACCAACCACTAATACTAGTCTTCAACCTAACACCTTCCTCTTTGCAGTGTGATTTATACATGGTCAGGTTTAGGATAATATCTTCAAATATTCAAATTTAGGTTGTTGAACTAATGGGTACATTAATCACACAGATAGTTTGTGGAAGGTGAGTGCTGATCCAGTACTAGAAATACAGTACCGTAGTTCATGAACAAAACACAAACAAACATTAAGATTTTACTTCCCCTGAAGATTGACGAGAGTATACCTTAAATTCTTTCCCAGGCGACATACAGTAGCGTTTGCACCTCAGTCAGGTCGTGTCTACTCATTCGGTCTTGGTGCATATGGTCAGCTAGGTTCAGGTGGAACGAACAGCTGCAACAGCCCTGTGGTCGCAGATGGTCCATGGACAACCCCAATTATTAGGGTAGTGGCTGGTGGGGATCATTGTTTTGTTTTAACTGCAAACACCGATGCTGGCGTAAGTTTTTTAACTCCGGTAGTAGGTCGAGACTTTCATAGCATCTATCAGGCTGGCTGCAACACTTTCATTCAGCATTTCACCTTCAACAATCCAGAAAGTCTTCCTCTTTGCTAATATGTATCATCGACAACTTTTGAAAACTCAGCCATTGATTATGATTGTTGTTTTTGGTCTTTTCACAGACGAAAGATATGCGCATGATTAATCTTCGCTTGTCGATCATACATCATACTGTAGTTGAAGAAATTGAAGAGAGAATCAGAAATCGAAGTAGTATTTCCAGCGAACATGGAAGGTCATTTGTTTATCTGTTTGTACTTATCTACCAAACTCTTTCTACAACTTGATAGCAGCTATTTTACTAATGGCAAAACATCTTTTCTTATCTTGTAGGAAACTCGAAGCAATATTTTCGAATCAACAGTGTCTAAACAGCTGCTTCTTCAACAGGCAAGTAAACTGTGTTTATTTTGAAACTTGCTTGGAAATGTGACTGGTTAAAGCAAGCTCAATTTTAACTCAAAATGTAGAAGGAAAAATTTGGTCACGGACAATCACAATCATGCAGTGGACCTTAGCGCTGCGAGAAGATTTTTCCAAGCCTTGGCAAGTCACCCCCAAGTCAATGAAATGGTGAGGTTATCAAATCAGCAGCCTATTAAATAACCCCCCTTTTCCCCTTTTTACACCCTATCCCCCCAAACCTGCTTTTACTCTCAACCATTCCCCTTTTCATTCCTA